TGATTACCTTAGAGTTCCTCATTGGGACTCCACAATTGTAGCCAAGCCTGCCTGTGTTTAGCTCCATATACAAGCTGAACAGGGTTGTTCTATCTGCCCTGCCTTGATGTTCCTCTTTTGCAGTCAAATTAACAGCACTACATCCTGAGAATTTTCCATTGGAACAATTTCAGAAACTCCATTTGAGAGAACTCATTGACATATTGGGTCAATTCAATAGCCTGAAATAGCACCCTCTTCCAGCCAACATCCAGTCAAGTTAAAGTTAATTATCAATTATAAAAGTTAATAATAACTAAGGCCCAAACATCATTTGAGTCTACATCTTAAAAAGCTGACAAAACTTTATCCTTGGCCATGCTCTAGGTTTAAGCACTCAAAATCCATGCAAACCTTTGTTCAGAGACCAGACTCTGTCAAAACTTGGTCAAAAATTCTTACCAATTGCATCACTGATACCTATTGCCAAACTGATACCTATTTGTCAGACATGGCTGGCAGTAGCAAAAATTTGAAATAAGCATATGAGTAATATTGGCAAAATGATTTCCTGTCATAAGAGCTCCATATGTCTAGCTAGTCTAGTCAGCTCTCTGTCTAAGAACTCAATCCAAAAATGTATATTTTGGGGTTGAGTTTACTGTCATCTTGCGGAAATCCCTTGAAACTCTTCAACCTAAAAAATGGAAATAGCATACACTCCCTGAAGGATACTCTTTTTAAAGATATTTGTGCAGACCACCACTTTCTGACTTCCAACAAGTAGAAGCTGTGAAAGGGCTCCTTGTGGTGAGAATTCCATTTCAAATTGATCTTGCAGTTGCCAATTGTAATACAAATCTGCAGAGATTCAGAATTGAAATTAAACTAGAGAAGGAAAGCCGAGATTACTTCTTCAGGAGGACCATGCATATCTAGTGGTTCAGTTGGCATAAGGCCTGATGGAAAGTCACATTTCATGTCAGCTGAAGAAGAATCCTGTCATAATGGTATAATATGCAAGCCGTAGCATTTTGTAGCAAAATTATCTAGAGTTCACAGTTGAATTACAGGGTAATTATAAAGAAACTTCCACACTTGAGCAAATAATATCTCAGCTGAAATTGTACAGGGGTGTTACAGGGGCCATGCACTCAAAGATGCCATAGGTATCACATATTGCCATCAGGGGTGCCACTATGACTTGATGTCTCACTAATCACAGCTATTATTCAGTATGTGCTCCTTCAGTGTCCAGAATGCACAAAGAATAAGTTTCTTCAGTTCCTTCTAGTACCTTTTGGCTCTGTATCTGTGAGTCTCCTGAAACAAGTTCTAGTGGTACACAGTTATTGAAGTCTGGATGTTTCTTTATAATCACCTGTATATTGAAATACACTTTAAAAGTTCTAACCATCACAATGAGAAACAGCAAAAAAGGCTGTTTGTAAAATAGGCATAAATAGGCCATGGTTAGAGTTAGGAGATGGGTTAAAATAAACCATCTTATTCATATGACAAGTGTTCTATGTACTTAGTAGGCCTGGACAATGCATGTTGACACAAGTAAAGTTTAATTGAGATTGAAGGGAAACAAAAAAGAAGCAAGCAAGGGATATGAATAAGCTGTCCCATACAGGCAAACCAATACTCCGTTGTTTTAATGCCGATTATCATTCTTGCTCCTCTCATTCATTTCATGACACCTATCACACAAGAAAGGAATTTTGTTCCATGCAAACTGTAGGAGTTGGCTACTTGCACTTGAATGGCCCAAAAACATCAAGAACAGACCTGTAAAATGAGAAAAACAAATATATTCTGGTTCATATCTGGGAATGGGGCACCATTGCTATTGCCTGGTTCTCTGCTATAATAGAGCTATACTATATTCGCATGATGGTAACAAGACAAAATGCTCAATTGTGTGCCCCCTGGTACAATGACAGTCCATCAAAATTATGTATACTGTTGAATGACAGGAGACAGTTGTACCCAGAGTTTCCAGACAAGGCAACCAATTGGAATTGGCACTTCTAAACCTGAAAGGTAGGTCAAAGGAGTATAAATGAGAATGGCGTGCTGTTTGCCTAGGCAAAGGCAATGATATAACATGACAGAACTTTTGGCCTATCACTGACCTCGCTTCTGGCGCACCCATAGGGTTTATAATATGCCAAGACCTAATGTCAGAAATAACGTTAGAAATAACGTTAGGCCTAATGTTAGAAATACCTAAGCACACTCATGACACTGAGAAATAATTTCGGTATTTGAATTACTTCACAAATTCAAATTTTCGTCCATGTAAATCGACGAAATTGAAGCAGGTTCACTTCACGCACGAATATGAAAAACTCCTCGAGGTTGAGGCCCACTGTTCCTCCACCACCATGCATGGACCATTCTGGGATACGCTGGTTTATGAAGATTCCTGACATGGATCGGTCGAGTCGGTACCCCTATTCGTTAAATCGGAAGAGAACCTTCACGTGAGCACGTGGCGGGCTCCAGGGACTCTGGAGCCGTGCTGTGACGTCACCGTCACGTTTTTGGATATATAATGCTTTCGTTTTCACTAGTGCAGCGGAGTTTCAAGTGACTTCGTAGCCACAACACGGGTTCCGTAAGCTTAATTTTATTTCTACAAATAATACTATTGATTCTATTATATAAACTCATTTACTAGGATGAATCATACAGCACAGCACGGGTATACCCCTAAGATATCCCAGAGATATCCCTTGGGACAAGTGAGAAGTCCCAGAGATGACTTCTAAGGACATCTTAGGGATGTCAAAATGTCTGGGCACAACGACATCCCAAGGATGTCCCTATCTTGAAGCACTAGCACATCCCAGAGATGTCCCAGGGGTATCCCCTTGGGAGAAGTATTATGTATTCAATATTTTCACGTTAATAAAGTAAGTCGCATTACAGTGTTTTTCACCTCAGTTAGACAATTTTTCACTTGATTAAGACACCAATGCGAGGAGTATTCAGAGAGGAGGCGAGGGCGCAGGTGCCCCTGGTGACTAGCGACATCTTTATCTTCTTCGAATATTTAGGCTTTTTCATATGCTTCAAACTATGTACTGGATACGATGAACCACATGCATAGCCATGTTGTCAACGGGAGACCTTCCTTGCAGTCTATTTAAATAAAAAGGCTCTAAGTTTTCAATTTCCCATCGGTTCAACGATGGGCGCAGGTGCCCCTGGTGACTAGCGACATCTTTCTTTCCTTCGAATATTTAGGATTTTTCATATGCATCAAACTATGTACTGGATACGATGAACCGCATGCATAGCCATGTTGCCAACGGGAGACCTTCCTTGCAGTCTATTTAAATAAAAAGGCTCTAAGTTTTCAATTTCCCATCGGTTCAACGATGTAGAAACACTGGATCGGACTTCGATGGACAATCCCAGATCCACGTTAGATAGGCCTACTTGAGTTCGGCGTGGGGAATGATACTTCAGAACCCAGGAACGATGCCCAAATCTTCACCTGTTTTATTGAAATATTAAGGAAAACAGTAATGGGTGACACGAAAGCCTAGTGTTTCACGACATTAAATTAGCATTTCAATATATTGTGTATTTGGGAAGGTTCATATTTATTTTCCTCTCTTCAGCAGGAAATTAATCATCATCGTTGTCGCCAACTCATCACGACATCTGCGCTTAAGAATGGAACTCCTTGTTTCTGCGTCGATCCGCTATATCACCCTCACCATGCACCGTTGTCGAAGTCAAGTGAAAACATGTCTAACTCAAGTGAAAAACACTGTAAAACCTCTGGAACAGTTTTTGACTTGTTTCATACTCCGCACGGAGACGCCATCCATCGAACTGAAGAAACCTTGGTCGGTGTAGGTAAGTAAGGTGTCGGGAAATGAGGTGACACGGAAAGTGTCTGAGCATCGCGTTTGTGTCAAGCAAACATTTCGGTCCTCTGATTCGTGGTGGGATCCGAATGAGCGCAGTTCTTTCTTCTGTTGTGTTATTCCAATATGATCTTCTGCAGAAAGAATCGAGTAAGAAAACAAGTGGAGGTCGTCGAGAAAGCCGTGAGAGTTTGAAGGGGGGGGGGGGGACGAGAATTAAAGTAATGCGATTGCATAGCCTTCATTTCGTACGGTGATGGAATTCAAAACACCAGTTCATTCTTTTAGGAAAATTTATTTCTGAACTACATGGATCCACACATGGCATTCATGTCAAATTCGAATATTAGGAATTTTCAGAGGAATACAAGAAGGCGGCTGAGTCAAGTGTTTCGGGGTAAAAACTGGTTCGGGACCATTCAAATTCAATTCTTTTCGTACAGTGAATATGAAGGACATATATGAGTGGTTTGGGAGTAATATGTCTCCCTTGGAGACCGTACACAAATTGAATAAAAATGGAATAGGGTTCAACGGCAAATCAACAGTGAATTCAGCGGTGACCACTGCTGAACTCCTGCTGAATAGTTGTTGAAACTGGTGATTCAACAGTGAATCACCCTTGATATGCGGATTCAATTTTAACGTGTTGAACTTTTCTGTAAGTGAGGGAGCCCCCATTACTGTCATTACCTACTCGTAATGGCATCCTTTGAACATGACATTTATTTCTATCACACACCGAGGTTCGGACAACTCTACGTTGATGGGCGCTTGAAAGGATGGCAGGAAGTTATGAGAAAAAAGATTTGTCAGGAAGGACATTGAAATACCTCAAAGACGAGTATTATAGCTATTACCTTGCTCTCCGCAGCATCCAAAAAAGAACCGGCGGATATAGTTGATCCTTCTGCTCCGATTCGTGCCTTGACCTGTGAAACAAATCAGATGATTCTAAAACCTCTCTGCATGAATTCCCCCCCCCCCCTCCCCCCAAGGGAATGACCGTCGATGGTGCAATAGAAAGCACAATCCTCGCAGTTGTTGAATCCCTTGCAGATGATCCTAATTTCCGCTTCTCTATCGTCTTTCCTCTTTCTTTCCCCTCGGTAAAAAAAATAAGGAACGATCTCAGAACCCACCCGAGCGACGGAGTTCCAGGGCCTGAACGGGCCGATTCCCTTGAATGTCGTCCATGAATTCCCGAATGCTGTCCGTCGTCATCTTCCATAGCAATTCGTTGATCGACACGGTTTTCGCTTGCTTCCTGTTTCCCTCGTCATCGTCCGTGGTGTACTCTTCGTCCTCTTCCTCGGTGAAGTAAGAGGAGCAATTGACGGTGTAATGCTTGTTGAACTTCAAGCCGGACTCCTTCACCGATTCGACGACGGGAAGGCGCATGCTGTCCGCAAACGTGCAGAATAGATAGGAGATCTCCTGGATCTTCTGAGGCTCTTGTCCCAACACGGTTCCCATGTTTTCTAGCACCAGCCTCTGCTCTGTCGTCAGTCTTCCCTGTTCGCGTGGAGGATACAGGAGGATACAGTTCTGAGCAAAATGATGAATTTGTAAACGGGCGGAAAAGGATACTTTAGCTTGTGATAGAATGGAAATAACCAATGACGTACGAGGGAATACGAATTAATTCGTGAATTAACCATAAAAAGTATTCGAGTACTATATGGTGTGCTCAGTCCGTAGGATATCCCTATTTGTTGTATTAAATATCTAATGTGAAGGAGGTACGTTTAGCCATTGCCATCCACAGACGTTTCGGCATTTTAATATCTATGGAAATGAATGTGTAATTTCAAGTAAATCAACAATGCACGATTTAATTTCTCCGATTGATGAGTGTTTTCCGTTATGTCCAACAAATAGCGTCAAAAACGAGCTCATAGTGATCATATCTTTGTGATCGTTTCACTGCCGACGAGCACCCCCGTCAACATATTGCTACCGCAGATGAGACGTAGATTCATCAATATGTTTCACTGACAATATAACGGTCATCTGTAGGGAAGCGCACCATATCCATATAGCTCAAGAAATTTCGTTCTACGTTATCTGTCGGGCAGATAGTGCACATTGCGTTTCTGAATGCACATGGGATTATCAGACTACTCTGGGTGCCAAAAGGGACTACTGTAAACCCAACATGATATGCGATAGTGTAGCTGAGGTATCTTCGCGAGGCAATTTACAAGAAGCGACAGCTGTTGCTGTCAGGGCAGTAGCTGTTCCATCGCGTCGACTCAAGATCGCATACAGGGTGGACCAAAAATAGTAATACCATTTGTAACTTTCTATTTATTTACGCCTAGAAACAGCAAAATAAAAAAATGTTTTGTACCTATATGTTTGTCTCTTTGGTGGTCCACCTTTGCTGTTTTAACATGAATCCTCTTCCGCCTAGAAATGGCTTGAGGTTAAGAAAATTGCCTGGATGACCGTGAGGCAGAAGTGATCAAGGAATACGAATGACCTCTATACAACTCTGACCGTAACCAAACGGATTACTGTATGCGATGTCTGCTGTAAGCAAGTGCCCATAAACGAAATCCAGCGACCTGAACCAGTCAAGGTTCGTGCCGTAAGAGGAGTGAAATCATGTCCGTTCATTATGATCTACTGACACTCAAAGATTCCAGGTTGCCATCAAGAAGAACAGGGGCACATCGAACATATTTTGTGAATAGTTACTGTGAGGCCTTGTTTCTTGTTGAGATACAATTGATTCCATGAGAAGTTATTAGTACAGGAAATACAAGACTTCGATTTGGTGTGAATATTTATGGCCCACCCTGTATGGCTCCTTTACAATATGCAGTTCTGCAAAGAGCTGCAGTGGGCATTCTTCCTCCAGGGATTTTGGTGCACCATCGATTGGGTCACACAGTCCAAATGGATTGTGCACGGAAGTGCACGTGAAGAACTTTACTTTGAAAAAGAAAGAACCCTGACTCCGCTTAATATGTTACGAAATTATGGCATCAGTCCATGATAGCCTCTCGTACCAAAACAATCCAATATGTATGCAAAGGTGGAATGAAGAATACTCGAGCGAAAAATTTGCCGAAGTTCAAGGTTCAAGATTGAAGGTCATAGTAAAAACGCCAAGAAAGTTTTTTGTGCTAACATTAACTTCCTTCGTTCCTCGGGGGAGGGGGAGTGAGACATGCGGAGATACTTTCAAGAAATTATGCAGCAGCTAGAATTAAACATTTTCTGCTTCCTCCGCCCCCCATAGAAAGTAGTTTCATCTATCCCCGATAGAAAATGATTGGAGCTATTATTAGAAGCACCGTATATTTTCTACATTTGCCCTTCAAGACATCTAACTCTCTCTTGGAGCCATCAGTGGTTCTAACAGCTTCAATATCGTTATCTAACTCGTTCCATGCATTCATTATACGACAAGTGAAATTAATTTTTCCCCCATCGTCCAACTATTACCATCGAGCTGGAAAAAGCAATATCTGCTCCACATTTTCGATGCCCGTTTTACCCCTTACGTCACCTGCCGGGCCTGCCCAAGCATAAATGGTCACTCTCCATTATTATTTCAAGTTGAAGAAGCTAGCAAGAACAATCGAAAGAAATCTGCTGGAGTTTCGGGCCTGCCAGGATGAGAATCTAGAGCAGTGGTGCCCAACCCTTTTCGGCTCGGGGGCCAAATAGCTCATTCTCACAGCCATCGCAGGCCATATACAGCCATTAGTATTGTAGAAGACTATTTTAAGGAAAAATAAGGGTATTTATTTTGGGTTAGGGCCTCACGGGTCAGAGGTTGGGGCACCACTGATCTAGAGCCTTCTATTGTACGGATGAAGATAGATGACCGGAGAAGACGCAACCTGAGAGCCTTGAACAACATAGACGATGGCGTGGACACCCGCATGGTGATGGAGATGGATGAAAGCGCGGATGTCTTCCATCAACTTTCGGTCCTCCTCGAGCGTCCCCTTTTGGAAGCCTGGCGTGTCTATGAGGGTGACTGCCTTAGGGAACCTTTCCTTGTCCCTGGTGAAGAAGGTATGTGAGGTGATCCTCTCCGTGGGTCTGTCCTCCTTCATCTGGAATCGATAGGGATCCCGGAAATCTACTCCCAGGCCGTAGTTCCCTATCACCTCCTCCAACATTGATTTCCCTGCAATGAAGAAGTGTGCAAGGATATTATACACGGGCCTCACATGTTCATCTCAAATGACATTGCATGAGATGAGAGATAACCTGATCCAGTCAAGCCAAGGAGGAGGACATTCAGACATTCTCCACTTTTTTCAGCATTTCCCAAACGGAATCTATCAGTTGAAGTGCTGATGAGCTGGAATGGAAGAGGGTAGTAGTGCAAGTCTTTTCCTTGAATCGCATTCTCTTTCTTTTTTAGCTCTTCATACAATATTTCCTTTGGTCTTCTGTCATCTTCATTCGCCATCCTTTGATACCTGGCAAGTGGACAGTTGAGTTGATGATTGCTTTTTTCCTCTCATACATACAAGTTTAATAGCCATTGTCCAAAATATATATAACGACTATCTTAAATCTGCTACTGTGTCGACCTGGAATATGAACCGAAGCAATATGAATTGGATGCATATTGCCATTTGAAAACGATAACTAATAATGAAGAGACATTTTGAATGGTCGAAATGATAAATGTATCTTGTTGCTTGCAGTTATGGTAATGGGTCACAATGGACAAGGTGCAAGACAGTCGACTTGTTTTAAAAACATAAAAGATTGTGTCTGTAGCATTTTCGGTCTGGGCATTCATGATATATCGGGATTGCCGTGATGCAAGCTTGCTCGTCGTATAGCCCAATCTTTATTCCGGGGTAAAATATATATTTGAGACGGGCAGATCATGTGGGTGTTCGTTCATGGCGTCACATGCACGATTCCCCTATGTCGTGTATCACCCAACACATAACACACCACATGTCTTGCGTTCCGTTCATTTGTTCTCACGCCTATGCTTATTAGGGCAAAGGCTGCAATTACTTAGTCTTATTGGAGATGTCTGCAAAATGTAAGAACACTTGCCCCTTGTAATATCTCAGGAAACCGGGAAATAGCATTGACTTCCTGGTGTGTACTTCCTGTGATAGCAGCCTTAGGGTGTAAGCTGGTCACGTACTATTTCAGTGACAAAGGGAAACAAGTGATAATAGTTCCTATGCTTTCATTGAACTATTTGGGTATTCGTTGAAAGCATGAGACGAATCTGGTCACAAAAACGTTTGTCCAACTATTACCCGTTGTTACCTATATTTTCCATATAAATTAGCTGTTCTCTAACAGGGAAGTTGCCCTTGATACTACACGGCGTTGTAAAACACTGTAAATCAAGAAGAAAGCTAAAAGACTATATCAAGAATGAAACATTTTGATTCTAGGTATTTGAAATGTGTTTATAAAATTAGTGGCGAGAGCAGCTGACCTGAATGAAAGGGAGGCTTGTTCCGGCTGCGGAAGGAAAAAGAAAGGCCCTCCAGCACTCGGGCAACTGAACTTATGTCCTTCTATATTGCACGCCACAACCCTTCAGGCTTTTCCTTATCTTCCTTCCTCTTCAAACCTCGATCTAGGCCGTCTTTACAGGGGCATATTCCCTCCTTCCCTTTCCCGGAAATGTCATGAAATGAACAATCTCTCAACCCCTCAAATCATTTGCCGTGATTGATGCCAAAAAATAGGCCCCAGGTGTCTTTGGTGATTGGTCCATAAAATGAGTCCAGTCTTCTGACGTATCCAAATGGATACACGCTTTTGTATATATTTCTACGGGAATGATATTGGTTCCATGAAGGTGACTCGTATAGAAAAGGACTTCTTGGCGACACGCAGTGTGCGTGTGATGCGTTGTGATTCTTTGACGAAACTTTTGCGTGCCAGACGCATTCAATGCAGATAATTTTGCGGACATTAGTTTTGATTGTATCGTCAGAATCTCTTATGCTTCTTGAGATTTTCTGATTAAGGAAGTAATTCTCGTCAGTATTTCCATGCACAGGGTGGTCCACAATTGTCTCCCCAAAAGTAAAAGCTTATTACTCCGGAAGTATACATCCGATTTCAATTATATTTGACTCAAATGATAGCCAATTAAATTTATTTTTATTGTGGAAAATTTCAGCATTCCATACAAAGCTAGAACAAAGTTGCATCCTTACAAATGAAAGCCACCAAATCACCAGTGTTCAATATGACTTCCACAATTGTCAATGTGCAGTCGTTCTTTGAATGTCAGCATAATTCTTTCAATCATCTCTGGTCCTACTGTTGTGAAGGCATTTCTAATGGCCTGTTTCAGCACATCAAAGTTTTCATAAGTCCGCCGATGAATCTCCTCAGGCTCAGAAACCTCTTAACTGCCTTCATGATCTTCTCATCCAGAACTGAGGCATTGGGATCCAAACTGAAGAAATTTCCAAATTTTCCGCACACAAATTTGCTCTCCAAATTATCAAACTAATTGGCAGTATTCGTCTTTTGCAGGATACCGAGGTCGCCCATGACATAGACAATCCCTTGCGATGCATGAATAAATTGTGAAACTCGAGATGGAATTGCGAAATTCGAAAGGGATTGAGATAATTACAGACTTTAGTTGCACAAATGTTTTTTGTTTTACGAATGTCATTGTAACATTTGCTATCAACATTAGAGAATGTTGACACTCTTGACGTCGACAACGTAGCGACAACATTTCGATACAACATGGACTTAGACATTTTAGGGAATTTTAAAGTTTTTCTCTTTGCCACGAGATGGAGGCGTAGGTCTCAGACAAAAGTGCCCTTCCCTCTTTCCCGCGCAGGAGTGTTCTTGCCATATATCTCGCATTGTTTCATTACAGGAATCAATGAACATGGACACTTCATCACTTGTTATCCTCATATTCGAGACAGATTCATGGGGTCAATGTAAAAAATTCTCACATTCCCAAGAATCCCTTTCCCTTTCTGTGTGTGAATTATGTGTAGGAAATATTACTTTCAGACAGTTCTCTCATGCGGAATGCACAGGAATTTTTGCTGCGTCCATGCGAATGCATGGAAAGTGTGAACAACCATGCTCCTAATTGGCAACCTTTATCTTGACTTCACCCTTTCACTGATAGCAAAGTCTTCATCGAGGGATTTTCTCTCAAGTTCAGTGAAATACATCTCAGGGAAAGCATAGAATTGAGAATGCTCTTGGTGCCTCCATGAATCATTAAATACTTTTTTTTTAAGCCAACGGTTACAATGCGTTTTTACCGATACCGATAACGTACTGAATTTTGAAATGGTACTTTTCACACTAGAAACAAAAAAAAACACTTCAGAGTCCTCTGAGATCTTCAACGTATTAGACAAACTTAACTCTTTCGCTCCCAAGCAGAATTGTATCTCATTAGGAAGAGTGGAAATATTGAACCTTGGAATTCAATGGGTTAAGACGCAAGTACAGACGGTTCTCAGTCACTTCTTTCTTAGCTTTTTCGTCTCTATACGGTCTCCTTTTTGCCGGCGAGTGATTAGGAATCCAATAATTTCAACTCACTCGCCATGATTTAAGTCATGACACAGCAAAGTCATGTAATGTTTTACATTTCCGGAAGAGATGGAACCCAAAACAACATTTCACTCATGTAGATCATAATTTATTCCTTGACTACATCGATCATATTGTATAACTATATGCCAAACAGCTACAGGAATTTGGAATGGTGTGAAGGATAGAAATCAGACAGCAAAGGTAGGCATCTGTGTCCACCTTACCATTCAATTTCGACATGGGCAGCTCTTTCGCTTAGCCCATTTCTGTCTATTATTTTTCGCTCCATTTTTCCTTCTTGCTAACGCTTGAACTACTTGAACAAATCTCCGCTTGAGTGCAGATCAGTAAAGTAAATGCCAAACAGGTGAAACATGAAAACGGTTGCCCAGGGTGAAAGATTGGTAGCAACTATTTTATTTCTACTGTTTCCTTTCCAATAGGGCGAGAAATTTGGAACGTAACATATTTGTCGCGCTAGTCAGAAATGGGCTAATGATGTGAAACTCCTGGCCTTGTGACCAGGGACCGGAAGATGTACCTGAGGAGCATCAGAAAAAGTTTACTGGGTACAAGACTAAGCATAGAAAGAGTGCACGAAATACTGTACATTCTATCATTTCATATAGTACATGTCGCGGTTGAAACAAAGATGCCAGACCTTCCATTACCCGTCTGTCATAGAATCCTTCTGACATGCAATTTTAAAGAATTACACAAAGAATACAGAATACAGCTCTGTGTTTTAGAAAGAAATTGAAAAGACGGCAGTGAATTATGATGAAAATCACGACGAAGGCAAGAACGCAGGGAAAGGAACACCTCAGACCATGGGGATAACTCGATCGCCCTCTGCACAATCCACATTTTGAGAAGCAACTGGGTGCGAACCTCTAGAGGATATTACAATTCTCCTGGAAAAAGCTTCCACCTGTGAACCGGTTAGAGAATTCGTACATTTCTTAACCTTGCAACAGGGATTCTCCCTCATCATCTGCACACCGTCCAAACAATGAAAATCGCTGAGGATATTTAGAGAAACGAAATCTCGTTGAAGGAATTGTGGAGCCTGTGGACTCACCCGATTCTCCTCCAGGGCATCCTGATTTCACTCCTGTGACTCCTTGTCTCTATTGGAAATAAGAAAATAACTCAAAAACTCACCCGAGGGAATGAGGCTCAGGGCTTCAATGGGCGGACTCAGAACGTCGTCGAAAAATCGCTGAAAGCTATCCGTTGTGATCTTCCTCAATAATTCATTTATGGATTTTGCATCCTTCCTCAATTCCTCATTTTTATCGATGGAAGGACCGTTTTCCTCTTTGGCGAGGTAGGCGTAGCCATTAACGGGGAAATGCTTATTATAGGTCAATCCGGCCTCCTTCACAGATTCTTGGGCGGGTAACGGATTGTTGTCTGCGAATGTATAGAATAAATAGGTCTTCTGGGTCCTCTCGTTCTCACGTTCAAAGACTTTGGTGATGCTTCCCAGCAACTCTTTCTCCTTCGCCGTAAATTTCCCCTATTCACAAGGAAGAGATAGATGCATGCCCTGAATTTGGTATTGAATTTTCCCCCTCATTCTGAGAAGTAATTTTCAGAATGAGGGGGAAAAAAACCCTCTGAGTTTGAAGGAGAATGCAAAAGTACCTAAGGATGCCTTATGTACAGTGCAGTAACAATGCAGAGCTGAGTTATTGAATTTCATGACTCCAGAGTTAATCGAAATATCAAAATATGCGAGGCTATATTTTCTAAGCTTGCCTGGCACTGCCTCCCAAACTTCGAATGGAACTTGTAACAACGTGAACCTATCGAAAAGTTCCAAGAACAATTTTCGTACTAGCAAACTATGCACGGAAAATAGGTTTCAGTATGATGCCCTTTGAATTAGTTCCCTGGAGTTGGGATATACTTCTCCTGACGTTTGTATAGAGCTTGGAACGCTGGCAATAAACCATTCTAGGCAATTTCCTTGGACGCGTTGGTCGCAGCTGACTGGAGAACGTCATTTTCGTCGAAGCAGGGGCCTTTCAGAAGGAACTTCATTTTGTGAAGGATTACGACGGACAGGAATCCATTGAAGATGAACTCTGTGGACGATCATCGACATGGATTTTAATAAGACCGATATCGCCGACTTAATGTCGTCGATATCATTATATCACGAATGCCTTTAATCAGAATGGGAAGGGCGAAGGAAAATCCCCAGGGTCCGGATCTGAATTAAACATTGATATTGAATCAAATAATTTTTTTTTGTTCAACAAATTATTTTCTAGGAACTAGTTATTTTCCCTATTCATATTCCAAGAAAAGTCAGGGGACTATGGGAATTTTAAGGGAAATCATAAGCAGATGCCGTCGAGGTATGGTGATACCTGACCTGTTTCCCCCTATGTTACGTAATTTTCGCGTAAGCAGCTGGGGAAAAAACCACAAGGGAGTGCCACAGGTCTGCATTTTTTCCTGGCCCCAATAAGCCCAATAATTACATACTCGCTCTTTTGACATTGCGTCGGAAAAAAATTGTTACTCACCTTGTTTACAATCAATTTCAATGATATTTTTGGTACATTACCTACCAACATTGCATGTAAAAGCCTATATATTTCCTATCGATAACGCGTATGGTACATCGTCTGCTGGCGTGTAAAGTTCGGGAATATTTTTTGGGCCACCCGGTATTTATGCCAAGGTTAACGCAGCAACAAAAGGACGGGGCGACGAAAATGCTCCAAGAGGGTATGACGCAACATGCACTACACTAACTTAAATTTTCTTCAAGCAAGCTGGCAGAACACTTGAACTTGAGAAATGTAGCGATTCTCGAAGTCAAGTACTCAGCCAGTTTAGATGACGTGCTGATCCAATTCGATTTAGGCCACACGAGCCCATCCGAGTCGCCACGTGACTTCGTGTTACGTTACCTGCGTATATGAGAAAATGACGCAACCTGAGAGCCTGGAAAAACGTAGACGATGGCGTGGATGTTCACTTCATGGTTGGATTTCATAGAAGCGCAGACATCATTCACGAATTTTTTCTGCTTTCTTCTGGGCGTTTCTCTTTGGAATCCTGGGGTATCGATGAGGGTGACTTTCCAAGAAAACCTTCGTTTGTCAGTAAAGCGACAGTTGTATAGGGTGATTGTATTCGTAGACCTGATTTGCTCTTGGTTATGATGGGAATCCTGGAAGTCCACTCCGAGTAGGTAATGCTTCATTGCTTCCGCCAACGTCGACTTCCCTATCATGAAGAAGGGAGCAAGGTTTTTTTTTTCTCAGACATAGATCCTATTACAATTCCGGACGGGGTATTTAAGATAAGGAAGGTGACCTGATCCAGTGAAGCCGAGGAAGAGAACATTCAGACTATTTCTGCCTTGTTGATCCTCGCCCAATCGGAATCCATCAGCTGCAGTTGAGGTGAATGGGAGAAGGAATGTCGGGTGGCCATTTCCTTCGACCTTCTGGCTAATTATTTTCAAATTTTCATGGAATTGTTTTTTTGGGTCTTCTTTCCTGAAAGGAACGATATAATTTTATCGTGCTGTTCCGTCAGTGCATTACATATTGGATTATCCGACGATGACTTAACAAATTTTATTTTGACCACTGCGAAAATTGGAGGAAAATATGGACAAGGTACAAGCTATGTCCATTTTAAGCAGATTTGCACAAACATAAAACGCTTATTTCATATTTTGCTCTCAGTAGGAATGGCGTGAGCAACCGCTCGTGTTCATGGATCTCGACCTCAAGGGACATGCATGTCCTTCAGCTTGGTTTTGGGATGTCATTTTACCAACAGGAGGAGGTTTTCTCCCCATTTTCACCTCCCAAAAGACTCATAGAAAGCATGTGGTGGCAAGGCAATTCGAGTGCATGGAATAAATAGCTGACGATTTGGGTAGCAGGCAGGTATTTTCTGGTTTCAACCCCCCAAAACATGTATTTTTCAGATTTAATAGAATATTTCAGTACATTTTAAATACCTGCCACTCGTGGTCACTTTCCACTCAGGGTAAGTTTCTCAAAATGTGAGAGTTTGGCTCGATTGTGAGCGGAGATGTTTAACTTAAGAGTCGTTGGTCTTTTTTGCCATACCATACAGAGCATGGCAATAAAATATATGCCATCAATGTACCCACGAAATTTCTCCGGAGCTACGACTGTTTCCATTTTCCTGAACTGGTTCCCCTTCATTGGGACGAGTGGATCCCTCATTGTTCCTTTCTTCCTTCAATAGATTCTCTCTCTCCTCACCTACACTCCAACCGAACATTTATTTTACAGTGGAAGTTGGAAGGAACGTAAACCCGTTGAAAGGATATTGGATCATGAGCGCTGACCTGCAGGTCTCCCAGACTTCTCCTCGTGTTTTTCCTCTTTATTTTCTCTTGACCGAAGGCGTCCTGGGGCCTGAATATCCCTGATGAATCCTTGGATGCTATCCGTTGTCATCTGCCATAGCAGTTCATTGATGGACTTCGTTTTCGTTCCTTCCTTTTCCACCTCGTCATTCACCTCGTCATCGTCTGTGGAAGGTGCCTCTTCTTCCTCCTTGACGAAGTAGGCAGAGCTGTTGACGGCGAAATATTTCTTGCATTTTAGTCCGGCTTCTGCCACGGATTCTAGGACGGGGAGGCGTTTGCCGTCCGCGAAGGTACAAAACAAATACATCTCAGTCTTTTCTCCTAAGACTTTGTTTATGTTCCCCAGCACCATCTTCTGCTCTGCCGTCAATCTAACCTATTCACATGGAGGGGAATGAACATTCTAAAAAATGTTTTATGACTAACTGGACGTGAACTATATGGGGATCATCCACTCCACATCCACTGGAGAGAGTTTGCTCCAAGTGCCAAAGTGAACAAATTAATGTGTGACGTTCTGGTATTGACGTTTTAAACTAATTTGGAAATCTTTCGTTACATGTGGAAGTAGAAGTGGTCCTCAATCATCTCGATCAATCCTCGATCATCTGCAGCCGCAGCCCGCAATTAAGTTTATAACTAAAGACGCATATTGTTTGTCTCTGGCTCTGTGCATTTTTCCATAGCAAATAGACTAATCATCTACTTGAGGTTTGTTTCCAAATATTCTATAATTACAAATATTCCAAATACACACAGTAGACGCCCTCTACTTGCAAATGGTTGCAGTGTTTTTGTAGAAGTCTCAGGCGGTTAAATGACAGGACGTATGGGCGGAAAAAGGGATAGGGAGTCTTTAGTTTTCATCAACTTTCAAGAGTCAAACGAGGAGAATCAGCGGGATAGCACCCTCTCCTGATGTTCCACGTCAGCATGGACGTTGCATGAGATATGAAGCAGTAAATACAGTAGTATTTCTCTCGAGAGGTTTAAGGCGTTCAGAACAAAGCGGTCATAAAAGGCGGAGAGGGACTTCCTCCTGTCCTCCGGACCCGCTTAATGTAGGGAGGGAGGATATATTCCTCAGTTCTGTCACGTTTAACATCTAAATCTAATTTCAAGTTGTTCCCTCTAAAACCTTTAAAACCTTTCTCAGAGTTGTTATAAAGGCACGACTTTCACTCTTCTGCGCGTATATCCTGTCCTGAAATGTGACTGCAGGTTATTCTAGATGGTTACTATTTTGTGAAAGTGGCCGTCCTCTTCTAAAAAGGTAACATCTTGCTGAGGTGGTTGCCCCAGCTCCTCAATGACTTTCTCTGCTTGTCCTGTCAATCTATGACCCACATTGGCTGAGAATGGAGTGAATTCCTTTGTGCGGAAAAGTGAATCAACCTGAGATCCAGGGACGACGAAGCTGACGGCGTGGATTTCCATTTCTTGGGCGAAAGTGCGGATGTCTTCCATCAACTGCAGGTCCAGCTCTGGTGTCCCTTTTTGAAAACCTGGCGTATCAATGAGGGTGACCGGAAGGGGAAACTTTTCATCCCTGGTGAAAAAAGTATAAGAAGTGATGCTGTTGGTGGGTCCGTCCTCTTTCTTCATCTGGAACCGATATGGATCCTTGAAATCCACTCCCAACCAGTAATTCCCCATCGCTTCTATCAACATCGATTTCCCTGCAATTAAAGAAGTAGACAAGGGTGATCCAGACATGTCCGACGCGTTTATTTAGAAAGTGGTATTTAATGACTTGAAAAGCCACCTGAACCAATCAAACCGAGGAAAAGGACATTCAGGCATCGTCCGTCTTGTTGATCACCCAATTGGTATCGATGAGTTGCAGTTGTGATCGATTGGGATGGATGTTCGACCATAAAGAACGATTCAACACTTTCACTGCTACTTTTTCGTGACTCCGAACCCAATTCTTTTTCTTCTTTGTTCTGCGTCATCGAATCTCTGATAAGTACACAGTAGGCGATTAGAAACTCTCCCATCGCTTCACGTGAAAGCGCACCGTCCAACATTCATAACATCAATTTTTATCCTGGTACTGTGCCAAACTGAGATATAAACAGTCGACAGTTCATTTGTACCGTACTGTATGAATGTAGTCATTTCCGGCACCTATAGACACGGATGGCTCAGAAATGAATGAAGCCTCCAGCCTGAGCTTGTGCTGCCATCTGCCCAACGAATGTGTCAGACGAGTTTGTTCGAGAAATGCTCATTAGGTGGCCCCAAGATTCCGCCACTTTCCTCTTTTTCTGGCAGTCGCTGGTGCGAGCTCATCACAGGCGTAATAACATCTATCCATAAAATCTCTTTAAAAAATATCACAAATGGTAGCAAAATCACTAAATGAAGATCAACGTTACTGTAAACTGATTTTTTAAATGTCGATTTTCACCTTAATTAGTTGTTTTAATCCAGAGTTCCTTATGTGATTTGAAGGATTAATATCCTTTCAGGGATGAATTAATGTGTATAAAATAAAGTTATTGGAGCATAAAACTGCACTCGCTTATTCCCCCACCTATATATAGGGTGGTTAAAAAATCCTCTATTCTGGTTTCTATGGAGAAACATAGCTTCATAAATGCGAAAAATATATTCATTGCCACCCACTTTTTCACAGTCGAATATCTCGGTGCATCATTTTTCAAAGTCTGCCGCATAACTGCGTGGATGTCTTTCGCACTTAAGCCCTTCAGGAAAAGGAATGGAATCACGACCCGGTGCTTACATTTTCCATGTCGACTGAGGGCTACGCACGAGCACTCGCAATGTTTTGTTGAAAATGAACTGCCGAGAGTATTGTCATGAAACTTTGTCATGTAACGATTATTGTGCAATAAATAATGGTAACAACTGACCGAATGAGAAGAGAGGACCTTTCGGGATGGGAAAAAGATGGAACCATAACGGCACTTCAGCTCTCAAGCAATAACATTGTCGCAACCTCTGAAAGGTAACGCATCTCTACAGGCACTTCCTTATCTTTTTTATTATTTACATATTATCCCCGGCCCCAGTTGTTGCGCCCTGATAAAGGCATACCAGCTGCGCTCGCGTTGCTATGCGACTCTTGTTCCGAGAGGCGATTAAATCCCAAAAACCGTGTGATAGAGACTAAGCGGTACGATAATAGCTGCATTCACAAAATTCAAAAACTGACACGATCCTCGGATCATCTTGCGTCAGGCCAGGTCCATGAGCATCAGGAAAATCAGAATTCGTTTCTAGCCCGTGGCTTACAAAGGCACGTCATGCCGATACAGCACGATAATCTATGTCATCAGATATGGATGGATGCATAGGTACGGCGTCACTCCTGGAAGAATGCATCAGGAGAGTGTGCAGAGATGAGAGCGAGGGAGGTGGTACTCTTCTCAATTTATCCTTGCGACCGTCGTACGCCGAGTTATGGGAGGAAAATGATAGAACTTCTGTCAAGTCCGAGGCGGGATCCCAATATCAGAATGAGCGAGAGTTTTTGAGAGAAAGTTGAAAATCCCGGGTGCGAACCCTCGCCCTACGCAGTGTTTCAGACAGACGAACACTTGACGATTAATATGCAGGGTGTCTCAGAAAAATGTATACCCACTTTAATAAATAATAGATATATGTTAAGTAATTCAGAGAGGTACAGTGTTTAGTGTGTGGAGAAGCAAGGGTTTGAATCGCATGGTCCACTACCACTTATGTTCAAATTGTTCACCGTTACCATCCAGGCACTGTTGACAGCAGTGAACAACAATGTAACAAACTTGTGGACAGGTTTCTACTAGGATAGTAGCTCAGGACTCCTCAATTTCATGCGATCGTGTGAATGCTTGCATCGTAACAGTAGCATTTTCTCTACCTGTTGATGTGCAAGGTCTCCCAGAACATTGTTTGTGCATTACTGTACTAGCAATTTTCTGGGAGACCATGCACTGTACCATCAGCATCAAAATATTCCCTGAATTCTTGAAAGTTTTAACCATGTTGGTGGCATAGTTGCAAGTTCATTTCTCCAAATTGCCTGATGACTTGCGATCATTCCATTACCGTCATCCGTTAGGTACATGTCACATTAAACATATTATGTCACATGTACCTACTGGGATGCAGAGATCAGAAAAAATCCGACTTTGGAGGCACATGGCCTGGGGGTAAAGATTTTTTGGGGGAGAAGTTTTTAAATATATATATTGTGACGGATTAGGATGGCATCGAGAGGCTAACCTGGATGTCTTGGGCTCTGTGGTGCAGTAGCAGCACTCCTGACCTGCAAGCGGGAGGCCCGAGTTCAATTCTCAGCCTTTCCATGGCTTTCTTTCGATCGCTTATGACGGCCAAGTTGCATTACTCATTCCCCCTCCGTAACAACATTCTTGCTTTAAAACAGAGAGACATGGAAAGCTGAAACCTGGCATGGGCATGCCTACTGAGACGATGAGTTCAGGAAAAATGTAACATTTTAGATCCATTTCCTGTGGGGGCATATTTTTAGGGGCCGACGTTTTTCAAGTAATTTTTTTTTGCCCTGGCGTATTGAGCTAGTGTGGAAAGATAAAACTTGGTACATAGCTACCTATTGGGATGCTGCGTGCAGGAAAATTCAGACTTTGAAAGCAAATGCCCCGGGGGCAAAAATTTCAAAGGGTGATATTTTCAAATAATTTTTTTGCATCAGTTAAACTGATGAACATGGAAAGCTGAAACTTTGCATGAATGTGACTACTGAGACAAGGAATTACAAAAAAGTGTGGGAATATGGAAGTGGAAAGGTGAAACTTGGCACATGTATAAGTGACATGGTTTTTCGGTTAAAACGCCTCTAGGCACATACATTGCAAAGGGTGTATTTTCTCGAATTTCTGATCCAGCAAAACAGAGGGCGCTAGAAAGTTTAAACTTGGCAAAGAAGAACCTGAAGTATAGCTGAATAAATAAAAAAGTCTAATTTTATTATCTAATATATATAGACGATCGTGACTGACTGACTGACTGACTGACGCTAATTCTATCCATGTTCTAGAAGGGTTAGAAATCTAAAATTGGTACACATGTACCTTTTGGGATGCAGAGTTCAGAAAAAATCCGACTTTGGAGGTACATGCCCTGGGGGTACAAATTTTGGGGGGAAACGTTTTTCATGTATATTATTTTGTGACAGATGAGGATGGCATTCAGGGAGCTGACTGGATGTGCTGGGTTCTGTGGTGTAGTCGTAGCATATGTGACTGGCAGTCATGAAGGTCTAGGTTCAATTCCTGGCCATACCTTGGCTCCCTTTTGCTTTTTTTGCCTTCCATGTCCTGTTACACAATCCCCCTCCATAACATCATTTTTGCTTCAGTAGAACGGAGAGACATGGAAAGCTGAAACTTGGCATGGACGTGCCTAATGAGACGATGTGTTCAGGAAAAATGCAAAATTTTAGATTCATGCATATTTTTGTGAGCCGACGTTTTCAAGTCCTTTTTTGTTCTGGCGTATTAAGCGGAGTGCAAAGATGAAACTTGGTACGTAACTACCTATTGGGATGCTGCAGAAAACTTCAGACTTTAGAAATAAATGCCCTGTGGGCACAAATTTCAAAGGGAGATGTTTTCAACTAATTTTTTTTGCATCTGGTAAACTGGTGGACATGGATTGTGTTCAGGAAAAATGCAAAATTTTAGATTCATGCACTGGGGGCATATTTTTGTGAGCCGACGTTTTCAAGTTCTTTTTTGTTCTGGCGTATTAAGCGGAGTGGAAAGATGAAACTTGGTACGTAACTACCTTTTGGGATGCTGCAGAAAACTTCAGACTTTAGAAGTAAAGGCCCTGTCAGCACAAATTTCAAAGGGAGATGTTTTCAACTAATTTTTTTTGCATCTGGTAAACTGGTGAACATGGAAAGCTGAAACTTTGTATGAATGTGACTACTGAGACAAGGAGTTAAATAAAAATGTTAAGTCATGATACATCCCCTGGGGGAATTTTTCGAGGTGCGATGTTTTGAAAAAGAAATTGGCATGGCGAATTGGAAAGAAATGGAAAGGTGAAACTTGGCACACGTATAATGACATGATATTACTGAGCTGAGAGAGTATTCAGCTTTCATGGTGCATCCCCTTCGGGCATAGCTTTTGGGTGGGTCGGCTTTTCGAAGCATGTTTTTTCACCAGCGAAATGGGCAAATGTATCATATTGAAACTTTCGGAACATGTACATCAATGGGCAGATATAGAAAAGTAGTTGGCGCACGCATCACTGACGTGATGTTCATTTAAGGAAAAATTAAACTTTTTTATACGTCTCCTCAAAGCACAGCTTTGGGGTGGGTCGCTTTTCTAAATATATTTTTTTCGGTCAGCAAAAAGGGGAAACGTATGAGGCTGAAACTGGGTGGCATGGAGTTCCCTGAGTCTAAATTTCAAAAGAAATAACAAATTCGCAAACACCTATTAGTGCCCTTTTTTCAGTCCCATTTTCCTTATTTTTTTTTGATCCAACGAAACAGACACAGGACATTTAAACCTCCCTCAGAAGTACCCTTTTTGATGGTTGAGTAGAGGAAAAATCATAATTTTGAAATATGAATCCTTAGCGTAGATTATTGGAGGGAAGTTTTTCAAAATGTATTCTCCTTCCTTACAAAAAGGGACACAAAAAAAGATTTCAAGTTAGGCACACACAATCATAAAGGTAATGCTTTTGATGAAAAAAATCAAGAAATTCTACCCATATGTCACGTATTTCAATGGGGACGTACTTTAAATACGTGTTTCCCATTTCGCAAAAAAGGAATGAGTTAATCAGTATTCAAGGTAAGGGAGAAACTCGCTAGTATATATATATATATATACTAGCTAGTATATATAATCCTTAGGATTGTCGCAGACGAAGCTGAGAGACTGTCCGCCGAAGATAATCTCATCATTTGCCACGGGACGCTCTATCCTTATGGCCTTAATGATAGATATCAAGGCATGAACATGTCCATGAACCTTAGCCAGCACTCCCATAGCTCGGACAATCTCTGTCAGGTTTCGGTTCGGGAGCGGGGTTCCTTCCCCCATGCCTAGATCGGTCTGGGTGGGACTGGCACCATTAGTGGGNTATATCCAATATCTGTCCTAAACAATCCATATGCATGCAGTACAAGGGCCATTTTGTCGGGAACCAACAATAAAATAGATTAAATCAATCATTTAGTGCTCAACAGATTGGATGGGGAGTCTGTCAACTTGTGGAGTGCTGATACGCTGGTCTGTGATGAAGGAAATCCTGATGCTAAACATTTCAATGCTGATCTTCTACACACTCTCACTGAGCCTGGTGTTCCCAATCATAGGCTGACTTTGAAAGAAGGTGCACCTCTCTTTTCACGATCAAATAGTAAATGGCACGAAATTGTTTGTTACCAAGATCTCAAGGTTGCTAATTGAAGCACAGATTCTTAGCGAGAAGAGCTGTGATTGCAGAAGAGTGCTAATTCTAAGAATCCCATTCAAATTCCAAGCTGGTCGGTCTGGTTTAGAAATAAGGAGAAGACATTTTCCTTTTAAATTGGCATATACTCTCACTATTAATAAATCACAAGGGCAAATATTGGACACCGTTGGGCTGGATTTACGCAATGATGTATTTTGTCATGGACAGCTGTATGTAGCATTAGGTAGAGTTAGAAAAAGGGATTCCATAAAAGTACTTGTGCCTAAATATATATATGAAGATGATGTAAGAACTCCCCATACAGCGAACATAGTCTATAAAGAATTATTGCATTAAAACTCTCAAGTGGCTTAAGTGGGTGAGCATCGAAAACGGATGCCTTAGATCGCAGAGCGCCGAAGGCGCGTCCATAGCGAGTTTGTTTGCCCGAAGGGCAAACAAACTCGCTAGTATCTAATATATATGGACGATCGTGACTGACTGACTGACTGACGCTAATTCTAACCATGTTCTAGAAGGGCTAGAAATCTGAAACTTGGTACACATGTACCTTTTGGGATGCAGATTTAAGAAAAAATCCGACTTTGGAGGTGCATGCCCTGGGGGTACAAATTTTTTGGGGAAACGTTTTTTATAAAAATTTTTTTGTGACAGATGAGGATGGCATTCAGAGAGTAAACTGGATGTGCTGGGTTTTGTGGTGTAGTCGTAGCATATCTGACTGGCAGTTAGAAGGTCCAGGTTCAATTCCCGGCCATACCGCGGCATTCTTGTTTTTTTTTGCCTTCCATATCCTGTAACTCAATCCCCCTCCATTACATCATTTTTGCTTGAGTAGAATGGAGAGACATGGAAAGCTGAAACTTGGCATTGACGTGCCTAAGGAGAAGATATGTTCAGGAAAAATGCAAAATTTTAGATTCATGCCCTGGGGGAATATTTTTGTGTGCCGACGTTTTCAAGTTCTTTTTTATCCTGGCGTATTAAGCGGAGTGGAAAGATGAAACTTGGTACGTAACTACCTATTGGGATGCTGCAGAAAACTTCAGAATTTAGAAGTAAATGCCCTTGGGGCAGAAATTTCAAAGGGATATGTTTTCAACTAATTTTTTTGCATCTGGTAAACTGGTGAACATGGAATGCATGAATGTGACTAGTGAGACAAGGAGTTAAATAAAAATGTTAAGTCTCGATACATCCCCTGGGGGAATTTTTCGAGGTGCGATGTTTTGAAAACGAAATTGGCATAGCGAATTGGAAAGAAATGGAAAGGTGAAACTTGGCACACGTATAATGACATGATATTACTGAGCTGAGAGAGTATTCAGCTTTCATGGTGCATCCCCTTCGGGCATAGCTTTTGGGTGGGTCGGCTTTTCAAATCATGTTTCTTCACCAGCGAAAAGGGCAAATGTATAATATTGAAACTTTAGGGACATGTACATCACCGGGCAGACAGAGAAAAGTAGCTGGAAAAATTAAGTTTTTTTATACGTCACCTTAGAGCACAGCTTTTCTGTGGGTCGCTTTTCCAAATATATTTTTTCGGCTAGCAAAAAGGGGAAACGTATTAGGATGAAACTGGGTGGCATGGAGTTCCCTGAGTCTACATTTCAAATGAAAAAAACATTCTTCAACACCCATTAGTGCACTTTCTTCAGTCTCATTTTCCTGATTTTTTTTGATCCAACGAAACAGAGACAGGAAATTTAAACTTCCCTCAGAAGTACCTGTTTGATGGCTGAGTAGAGGAGAAATCCTAATTTTGAAATATGTATCCTTAGCGTACATTATTGGAGGGAAGTTTTTCAAAATGTTTTCTCCCCCCTTACAAAAAGGGACACAAGAAAAGATTTGAAGTTATTCACACAGACTCATGAAGGTAATGATTTTGATGAAAAAAAATCAAGACATTCGACCCCATATGTCACGTATTTCAATGGGGACGTTATTTAAACACGTGTTTCCCATTTCGCAAAAAATGAATGAATTAATCACTATCCAAGGTAAGGGAGCGCCGAAGGCGCGACCATAGCGAGTTTGTTTGCCCGAAGGGCAAACAAACTCGCTAGTACTGTATATATACGTTCGTGACTGACTGACTGACTGATGCTAATTCTAACCATGTTCTAGAAGGGTTAGAAATCTGAAACTTGGTACACATGTACCTTTTGGGATGCAGAGTTCAGAAAAAATCCGACTTTGGTGGTAAATGCCCTACACATTTAAACATTTTAGGGAAAACGATTTTCTTAAATATATTTTGTGACAGATGAGGATGGCATTCAGAGCGTCGATTAGATGTGCTGGGTTCGGTTGTGTAGTAGTGGCATATCTACCTGGCAATCAAGAGGTCCGAGTTCAATTCCCGGCCATTCCTTGGCTTTCTTTTAGCTTTTCTTGCCTTCCATGTCGCGTTGCTCATTCCCCCTCAATGACATTATTTTTCCTTGAGTAAAACAGAGAGACATGGAAAGCTAAAACATAGCATAGACGCACCTACTGAGACGATGAGTTCAGGAAAAATGCAACATCTAATATATATAGACGATCGTGACTGACTGAATGACTGACTGACTGACGCTGATTCTAACCATCTTCTAGAAGGGTTAGAAATCTGAAAATTGGTACACATGTACCCTTTGGGATGCAGAGTTCAGAAAAAATCCGACTTTGGTGGTAAATGCCCTACACATTTAAACATTTTAGGGAAAACGATTTTCTTAAATATATTTTGTGACAGATGAGGATGGCATTCAGAGCGTCGATTAGATGTGCTGGGTTCGGTTGTGTAGTAGTGGCATATCTACCTGGCAATCAAGAGGTCCGAGTTCAATTCCCGGCCATTCCTTGGCTTTCTTTTAGCTTTTCTTGCCTTCCATGTCGCGTTGCTCATTCCCCCTCAATGACATTATTTTTCCTTGAGTAAAACAGAGAGACATGGAAAGCTAAAACATAGCATAGACGCACCTACTGAGACGATGAGTTCAGGAAAAATGCAACATCTAATATATATAGACGATCGTGACTGACTGAATGACTGACTGACTGACGCTGATTCTAACCATCTTCTAGAAGGGTTAGAAATCTGAAAATTGGTACACATGTACCTTTTGGGATGCAGAGTTCAGAAAAAATCCGACTTTGGAGGTGCATGCCCTGGGGGTACAAATTTTGGGGGGAAACGTTTTTCATGAATATTTTTTTGTGACAGATGAGGATGGCATTCAGAGAGTTAACTGGATGTGCTGGGTTCTGTGGTGTAGTCGTAGCATATCTGACTGGCAGTCAGAAGGTCCAGGTTCAATTCCTGGCCATACCTTGGCTCTCTTTTGTTTTTTTTTTGCCTTCCATGTCCTGTTACTCAATCCCCCTCCATAACATCATTTTTGCTTGAGTAGAACGGAGAGACATGGAAAGCTGAAACTTGGCATGGACGTGCCTAATGAGACGATGTGTTCAGGAAAAATGCAAAATTTTAGATTCATGCCCTGGGGGCATATTTTTGTGAGCCGACGTTTTCAAGTCCTTTTTTGTTCTGGCGTATTAAGCGGAGTGGAAAGATGAAACTTGGTACGTAACTACCTATTGGGATGCTGCAGAAAACTTCAGACTTTAGTAATAAATGCCCTGTGGGCAAAAATTTCAAAGGGAGATGTTTTCAACTATTTTTTTTTGCATCTGGTGAACTGGTGAACATGGAAAGCTGAAGCTTTGTATGAATGTGACTACTGAGACAAGGAGTTAAATAAAAATGTTAAGTCATGATACATCCCCTGGGGGAATTTTTCGAGGTTTTAAAAATAAATGCGCTGTGGGCACAAATTTCAAAGGGAGATGTTTTCAACTAATTTTTTTGCATCTGGTAAACTGGTGAACATGGAAAGCTGAAACTTTGTATGAATGTGACTACTGAGACGAGGAGTTAAATAAAAATGTTAAGTCATGATACATCCCCTGGGGGAATTTTTCGAGGTACGAAGTTTTTGGCATGACGAATTGGAAAGAAATGGAAAGGTGAAACTTGATACACGTATATTGATATTACTGAGCTACTATATTGAGCTACTACTATATTATAGCTACTATATTGTAGTAGCTACTATATATTAATACTACTATTATAGCTACTATATTGATATTACTGACATGATATTACTGAGCTGAGAGAGTATTCAGCTTTCATGGTGCATCCCCTTCGAGCATAGCTTTTGGGTGGGTCGGCTTTTTAAAGCATGTTTTTTCACCAGCGAAAAGGGCAAATGTATAATATTGAAACTTTAGGGACATGTACATCACCGGGCAGACAGAAAAGTAGCTGGAAAAATTAAATTTTTTTATACGTCACCTCAGAGCACAGCTTTTGGGTGGGTCGCTTTTCTAAATATATTTTTCCGGCCAGTAAAAAGGGGAAACGTTTTAGACTGAAACTGGGTGGCATGGAGTTCCCTGAGTCTACATTTCAAAATAAAAAAAATTCTTTAACACCCATTAGTGCACGTTTTTCAGTCTCATTTTCCTGATTTTTTTTTGATCCAACGAAACAGAGACAGGAAATTTAAACTTCCCTCAGAAGCACCTGTTTGATGGCTGAGTAAACGAAAAATCATAATTTTGAAATATGTCTCCTTAGCGTAGATTATTGGAGGGAGTTTTTTCAAAATGTATTCTCCACCCTTACAAAAGGGACACAAGAAAAAATTTTAAGTAAGCCACACAGAATCATAGAGGTAATGATTTAGATGAAAAAAATCAAGACATTTGACCCCATATGTCACGCATTTCAATGGGAACGTGCTTTAAATACGTGTTTCCCATTTCGCAAAAAATGAATGAATTAATCACTATCCAAGGTAAGGGAGCGCCGAAGGCGCGACCACTAGCGAGTTTGTTTGCCCGAAGGGCAAACAAACTCGCTAGTATTACAATATCTTCTGAGAAACACCTGATAGGTTCGCAAGAGAAGGCTAAAGGGAGAGAGATAGTAAATAAAGACAGAGGAAAGACTCCTTCTGTATGTCACTTATGCTGTTGTGTTGTTCATAGTGAATCGTGAAAAGTTGTTCGCGAAAGATCTTGGTGCTCCATAGATCATTAAGCATGTCCTCCAAGGTAACTGTAACTTTACGAATTTGCAATCTGTCTCCTGAGATGGCTTCCCAGCTACAACCGTAACTCCTGGGAAAAAGCGGGAACTCATGCTTGTATAATATTTTCTACAGAGAGAATATCACGGTGGTGAACGTCTATTATGAGAATGTAGCTGTGGAGAAAATTGTGGAAAACCAATTGTACCCCGTGAGTTGATTACTTTTTACTTAATTTTATCAGGTTCTGCACGTCAATGAAATCTGCGAAAGAAATAAGAACATATGCTCTTTCTGAGCAGTGGACGAGCTTCATTGGGATGTTGGGAGGGATGCTGGGTCTCTACACCGGGCTCTCTTTCGTCTCCATCCTGGAAATGCTGGAATGGATTCTGGACCTCATCTTGTATGGTTGGAGGAAACCTCGAAAGGAAAACATGGGACCGAGGCGACGGGTCATTCTCACGTGTGAGTCCTCATGTATTTGACGAACTTACTACAATAAATTTAATGAGTCTCTCCCTATCATGCCTACCAGGGAAAGACAACGAAGAAGGAGAGGGAGAGTCGAGAAAGAAGGTTGTACGTTCTGGCTTTGCTTGGGGAGATGATCACTTCACAAATTCAACGCTGAAAGAAACCTGGAGAGCTGGATTCGATCTTGCCTTTTCCGATCGATTGACTTAAATATAAATAGGTTTTGTGGGCACTGTTGAAAGACACAGGGTGGTGTAATGGTAACAAAACTGATCGGCAATCAGAAGGCCCGGGTTCAATTCCCGGCCGTTCCCTGGCTTTATTTCGTCCTCTCTCGTCTATCGAACTGCTCTACCTTCTTCACGTAACAAACATAATGACATCTGCAGATTTATTACCTCGTAGTATCAACGACCATATTCCACGTAGCTTTTAGCACCGATTTCCTCTGCAACACACTGATGATCGCCTCAATTGGGCATGGAGTCTGTCCTTGGTAGTCGTAGCATACCCTTGTACCAGAGAGAGGACATTTCCCTGCATGTGCAAAGCCGTATTCATTGGGTCCAGTGTAGTTTATAAACCACTCTCCTCTCGCTCATTCGTATGAGTTTCATTGTCAATATAGGGTTATATTCGATTTAAGATGAAATCGAATTAGCGCCGGCCCATGTGACCATAAAAACGTACATGTTCGCTTTTCTCTTTATTGCCTGATGGATTCCGTTTTCTTTTTCTCCACAATGTTCTAGTGGCACAATGTGTAGACATCACGTTGCAATGGTACTGGTAGTTCAAACACGAAAGCACTTTCTGAAAATCTGTCATTTCCTCTATGTCGGTTCTTCTTCCATGTCCATAGGACATCATCAATGTGTCTTAATTTCTCGATAGGTTCCAATATTTTTTTCTCAATGACATTGCATCCAGCCGCAGAAATTGACAGGCAATGAATAGGATATATTTGAGTGATAGAGACAAGAGTACGTTTTCTTCTATAAACAGCAGCTAATTTTCCAGAGGCCAGCAAGGCATGCCCACCAGTTGGTAGTTCTGCCGTGCCACACTTCTTCCCGAATTTCAGTTCAATTCACTGTCTGGGTTCTTTTACGATCATCGCTGGCTAGCTTTGTTTTTGTGTATCTTGAGGGAATTGGGGATGTGTTTTTTACCTTACGTCTTTCGAGGCAGTTTACTTTTTACCCAGAAATGTGTTATTAGCGCAAAAGCACAATTCCTGTTTATTGTTTCGCATGGAAGATTTCGGAGACCCAGTAAACTGTACTTCACAACGAGGAGACCACATCGACTATTCACTGTTGTGATTGTTAACAATTTGCTTTATGAATGAACTGAAATGTGCTGAAATGGCTTATGTGATATTTCATGTGAAATGTGCGATGTTGTTATGCTTCACTTAACAAGGCATCTTGCATAAGCATGGTAACATTGAGAAATGTACTGGAATTATTTAGATATTGAAAATCCTCGAGGACAAATGCTGGGAGTTCAAGAATGGAAACACATTTGCACTGCATATACAAATGCGACTTTAATGTAAAGGGGTCAAAGTGACCCTTCGAGTGTTTATCCAGTCCAACTGTTCAATTTATTTTCCAGTTCAGTTGTTAGTACTCCATATTTCCACTGATTGTTCAATGGCTTCCTCAAGGGAAACTATTAATTTAACTTCGTGATTCGTGAAAATGCCTAATTTTAGTTTGAAATGTTAAGGTTACAATTTGCGGTTGAAGATAAAGAGCGATTCGGTCTCTCTCAAAGGACACTAGTCTCTGTCGATTCTCCTTGTCCACGAAAATGACTTAGATACACACACGCACATTCGTTCTCCTGTCATTGCACCTGTACTACCGCCTTCTGTCAATAAACGGCCTGGCATGATCATGGGGGACCTTTCCCTAGCTTCCTCCTATTATTGCCGCTCGATATTGCTTGCCTTCTTATTTCCTTGCTACAACAGCATTCCGCGTGTGAAGACCCCTCATTCACTTCAGCTCTCTCGCTCACGGCTCATGTTGACTTTTATTGAAAAAACTTGAATATGTGTTCTTCAATGCGTGAAATGACAAGATCCTCACGTAAGGATTCAATACCTAAAGAAACAAAAAAGGCAGTGAGAGAAATCTCAATTTCTTTCACCTTGACCTTGATAACCTCTATGACCTTTCCATATCGTAAAACAGCTTTCCTTCGACCAAACAGGCAGAACAGAATTGAGTGAGAAAGGGATGAATGGACTGGCTGGTTTTGATTGTATCTGTCCAATCATGATTTCAAATCATTACATCCTTAAAACAGGAATAATAAACATTTATTTTCCGTGAGATATGAAATGGACGAGAGGAATATTAGAGTCTGCGTCATTTAAAAACACAAAAAAACAGACAAATAGCTTCATGCATGGTTTACATTTTTGCAGGAAAAATATTTTTTAAATCGGAGGACCTTGGTTTCGAAGCAACCGAGGTTCGGAAGTTAAACATAAAGCTTACGCAATTCTGGCCACTAGCTAAGCCGAGCGGTTATTGTGTGTTTATGTATGTATTACTTCTCTACAGGGTCAAACACTTCCAGATATGTACTTATAGTTTCAGCAGAAATCCTTATTTTTCACCATAGCTTATCTCTGGGCGAAATGAAATTTGCATATCGATACAACGGAAGGGAAAGGAGGAAACTTTCCCGGGAAAATCGAAAATTCCCTCTCGTCTCGCCATCTTTCGGATAGATGAGGAGACAAGAGTTTCCTTCATACTCGAAAGGGAGCGCTGACATCGCTCACATTGCTCACTGCCGTACCTCTTGTCTGCTGCCTCAAATTCTTGGATTTTAAGCGTTCATGGTGAAATTTGGGGCTATTCGTCAGTTCCTCGCCACTTGCGTTCGCATGGGCGCAGCAACTAAGCCCATCACTGCGGTTTTCTCATGGGTGGTCCATGTCTCAAAATGCAGAATGAGGTGCTCCTTCGTTGCTGCTTACGTCATCTTCAGTGCTTCGAAAGCGCCTACGAACGACGCAATGAAGCCGACAGGCGCGAGCGTTCTTCAAAGGCTGTATTGTTTTCCCGTATCGCAGTAGTACCGGAAAATTGTAAAAAAAAATATATATATATATGTATATATATATATATACATAGACAGGGTAGGGCAAAAGCCATGGAGCATGGGTAATATTTTTGGAATTTAAATTTCCAAGTAACTGCTTGACGTCAGCACATTTCTGTGGCACATGGGGAAACGCTTTAAAAAACATTCTGGATAACTTGGGCTTTTCGTATGTATGGTGGGCTGGACCAGGAGGCAACTGGTTCATCAAAACCCTCCATGAACGACTGAGGGATACGGATGGTCATGCACATGGGGAAACGCTTTAAAAAACATTCTGGACAACTTGGGCTTTTCGTATGTATGGTGGGCTGGACCAGGAGGCAACTGGTTCATCAAAACCCTCAAAGAACGACTGAGGGATACGGATGGCCAAGTACAACTGGCTCGCTGCCGTGCAATGAGATCCTTAAGGACGTATGCAGAAATGAAGACGGCACTCTCAAGAGAAGCTTATGTGACAAGGACTGACAGCAAATTCGTGAGAGCCCAGATAGCAACCCTGAGGCTGGGAACATGGAAATGGAAGACACTAATGAGTGTAGGAGATGAGAAGAATTATATCTGTCCCTTCTGTCGGCAAGAAGAGGATGAATTACATCTGCTGCTCCAGTTGGAAATGGAAGACACTAACGAGTGTAGGAGATGAGAAGTTAATATAGACAGGGAAGACAGCCGTTCTTCTCCTACTTAATGTAGACGACGAGGTCACGGTTCGTATACTTCTAGACGCCGTATTGATGTACGGTCTTGAGGTCCTCTCCTTTTAGGTTCGTCTCAGTCTCCCTGTCGACACGTTACGAGACGTGTATGAATCGGCACTGGCATGGAGGAAGCTAGCAGAATATATAAGAAAGGCGCTGGAGCGAAGAGAAGCCCTCATAGATAGACTGACTATGGCTGTATACATGAAGCCTCCAAATAAATATAAATATATAATCAGAGGAGTAGGATGCAACCCGGACACGAACTTCGGTTACTTTGCCATGAGAGACGGACAGAAAGGAACCACTATATGGATAGTGAATGATAGAAGAATGGGAAAGAGAGACACAATCAAGGGTTGCAACGTCTACATGCGACCATGATGAACTATTATCAAAGGAATCAAGAACGTTAGTCCAGTAGGCAAACTGAAAAATTAATTCCTATAGTGAAACCCCTTCTTAAGGAAAGAACATTTAGTTGCAGTAGTTCCAAACAAGGGGGAAATGCTTTACATTTGGATATCTGGGTATTTGTGAGTTTACCAGATTGTACCCTAGCTGTGTATCATTGAGTAGACAACACCTTTAGATTGGATGTCGTTCGAACACCATCTGCGGTGAGATCCGTGGATGTTACTCGCCGTTCCAGATCTGGAACGCGTAGCCAAAGTGCCATTCGAATATCTGTAACATGAACTCCTAGTAAAACGTTCACGTTGCCGTCGTCCTGAAAAACGGGTAACCAAAACTATTATCTCCCACTGACTTGAATCTGTTGTAAGATCGGCTTCCAAAGTTGGGGAATGCATAGATATGGCAAGGTTGTCAAGAGAATACGGATGTTTCCAAAAGTGAAGCCATCAAGAATATCAGTCCAACAAGACTGGCTACGTTTAATTTGCTTCATTTAAGAATACTCGATTTCATGCTTCCCAAGGCCAGTTAGTTCCTGAATTATAGGGAAGGTCAGATAAAGAAATTACTGTGAGGGTGGAGGAAAGCGCCAATCTAGTAAGCGATAGGAAAGTGAGCGTCAGTAAACGACCATGACGTCCCCCCCCCCCCAGTCCCGCCACAGTTCTCAAGCAGTCAATCACTGTCACGTGAGAGAAAGTGAGATCCCAGCAAGAATCGTTTCCCACGGAAGCCACGATCTCCTTTTCAAGGCGTCATATCTTCGCAAAATGAAAGGTTCTGAACTTCGTGCAATTTTTGAAAGTGACAAATCAGAGAATATTTGATGACACGATCAAAAATCAAGACGTATCGCGATTTAAATCATATTCACACAAAATCTCGGTTTATGTTCCATTGATTTTGCTCACGCCTGCATATCACATTAAATTATATGGACATAGTGGAATAAGAGACGAACTCCATGCAAACTAAGTCTTGGTGCAATCATTTTGACCCCCTCACAGCACGATTTTTCTTAATAAATGTTTCCAAATGTAAATATATTGCTTTGCATTTCTACAAGAAGTTTCCTCAAGTAAAGGTGTCGTGCAATTAATAGAACACGTCGTACATGGCAATTTCAAGTACCACAAAAATTATATTTGTAGGTTTGAAATGCGGCGTTGTTGTCTATCCAAACTAAACCTAGCTGGACTTGACTAGATTCCATGACTCCTATGAGTCATGGGATCTTGAATAAAAAAAAACTCTCTCAAAGGGCACATGACGACGCGTTGCCAACGGTTTTTTGTTGTCATGTCATGACAGTCATGCAGAGCTATGAGGAAGAATAGGAGCAAGAATTCTATATCTTTATTGGAGGGTGCAAGCCGTCAAGGTGTCTCAGTCATTCTGAGTTATGGCTGAAGAGTAAGCGCCAGAAGCACCATATCAATGCATTATTGATTCTCCTTTGAAGTGAAAATTGCAAAATCCCGTTGGTATAAAGCAGAGTAATAACTATGAGGGATCTTGCTCCCCAAAAGACCAGGAAGCAACAACTTCAGGGTGTAAAAATGGTATTCAATAGCATAAGGCAATCAAAAAACATACTTTGCCATGCCATCCTTAAAATACGGGATGTCCATTAGAATTTGTAGGATGGTTTAAAAAATAGCTTTGACACTTATACATAAGCACTTACACATACATTACTTGCAACAAACTGGCTGGAGTGCATTTGCCAAAGTTTAATGAAATTTCCACTAGTTGGTCAAAAACATCAATTTGCTTTTTTTTATTTATTTACTAGAAATCATCCAATGGAGGCATCCATGACATTCTGCATATGTTCTACAGAGATGGATGCAATAGTTGCCATGATGCGGTAAGAATTTCATAGGGGTGACATCCACAGACCAAGTTTGAGGACACCAGTTTTTGTCTACAATTATGAACATGCTTAGGCCAAATAGAAAAATATGGGCAAGAGATATTTACAGAAGTTTTTTTTATTCATCTTCAATGATGTCCTATTAAGAAATACTGTATTATTGGAAAAATTAAGGAATTCAGGGGTGCTAGGTCTAAAACTAAGCAAAAATGTCCAAGTTCACTCATGCTGATGGGAATGCATACTTTACATGGTGGCTGACAGGCATGTGCAAAATATAGAACATTTGAGGAAATAAATTTATTTTCTATTTTAAAATAGGAATTTTGTGAAATGGCAAAAAATGCATTAGTGTCCACAAATAGGTGCACATCCACAAACTGGTGCCTCTACCCTAGTGTAAATTCTGCTGCCCTCAGCTGCAACCTACAGAGAAATCATATTAAGCTACAAAATTCCAGAATGATTCAAATATGGCTGAGAGCTTTCTATTCATCCTTTCACTCCCAAGCAGAATTTTATCCCATTAGGAAGAGCCAATATATCAACACCTTTGGATTCTAAGGGTTAAGGATAATTACAACAGTTTCAAATTCTGAAAATTCCAGTGGACACCTTGCATTATCACTCTGATCTCCCATTTCCCCAATATAACATAAGTTGCACCAAATCACAAATTCATGCACATTGAGTGAGATTAAGGGAGAGTATCTTTGAAGCGTCCCAGAATTTGTACAGCTTTGAGCTCATAGTGTCCTAAAGTAAGCAGAGCCACTTGAAATCCAGTCAACTTAAAATTCTCTGATTCATTTTGATCTTAACCCATATATGCCTGATGTTCTATATGGAGGTGCACCTCTGCATGCCATCCTACATATAGGATGCCAGGCACATCTGGGCTAAGGTAAAGCGAGTTATTGTTCAACCAATGGTCACAGTGAATTGCAGTTCTGAAGAGCTTTATTTATGGTTGCAAGGTGGAACTTGAAGGATTTTACTGCCAATTTTCCATTTGCTGTGAATGTGAGAGCACACCTTGAAATGTCATACTTGGAGATATATAAGGAAGAAGTCTCCTCATGGTCATGGTATAGATCAAGGAATCATCATGCATTTAGACAAATCTCACTGAATGCGTTTCTGCATGATGTAAAAATAATTCTCAGGGTTGAGTTAATGTGCCTATGCACATGGGGAGTCATCATGTCTCTCAAATGGACAACAATGATACCTTGAAATGGATGAAAAGTTGTTCTCAGATCGGGCTGACCTATCCTAACAGGTAAAATATCACTGTTTTGTCTTTTCCCTGGATAAGGTTACCCCAACTGTGAAGAGGCAAATATGCCTATTCTTTTCCTCCAATTGAGGCTTACCTCAACCAAAGGATACTGCTTCACAGTGGAGGAGTGTCATGTCTGCCAGGGAAGGGGCAGTGAACTTTCCCTCTCAGTGGCAGCTGGCCAACAGCAGAACAGCATCCACCCCCTAGGCCTTGAGAATTACCCGGGCCCTCCCCCATGTAGCCAAAATGCTCATTATGTCATTTGGTCCTTCCATTAAAATTTCTGTGAAAGTGCATCTTCCTTCCAATGCAATTTAAATGTATAAGGGTATCAGAGCTTGCACTGGACAATGCCCCTGCTTCACTTGATCAAAAAGTATTGTCTCAAGTGGCTGGAACCTGTCCACCAGGTTCTCCCAAGTTTGCTTCCTCTGTAAAGTGGTCCAAGTACAGTAGCCCACAATTATGGTTACTTTTGGCTGGATTGGTAAGTCTGTCCAGAAATCCACCTGACATATGAAGAGCCCACAGGACTGCAATGATCAAAGTCACATTTAGGCTGTTAAGAGAAAAACAAAAATGAAATTTCCAAACCAAATGGCTCCTAATTGATTCAAGATACAAAAAATTATACATATTATAGTTTCATTGATTTTACAATTTTAGGAATATCAGAAATGAAAGCATGCACAACAAACATGTAGGTGGCAGCACAATCTAAAAAGTCAAAACTGGGGATTGTTCTTTCCAAGGGCTCTTCAAATGTGAAGGATATACCTGTTCCTATTTGCTGGGTGCATTAAGTTGGAGACATCTGCCAGCAGGAAACATAAAAATGAGCTGGGGGGAGTCAAGCGCGCAAGCTTCAATGAATTTCTTATGGAAACATACAGATAGAAACTGTTTTTACCACAAAAATGCTTCATTTTTTTGCCAGAGGGATTTCTCAAGGCCAAGAATGATTATATAGTAAGTAATCAATGGGCTGAAGTTTGAAGTTTCTATTTGGAGCATCCAGACAGCCTGAAAGGCCTGTTGTGAAGTTTCTTTCAGTCTAGGCCTTCGCTTTCCATGGGCCTATGAAAATCAAATTTGGAATTTGCTGTCACAGGAAAAATAGCCAACATTAACCCTTGACCTGATACGTTTTATCATAAAGTCAGGGTCAGATTAAGGGAAGGGGGGGGGGGGGCCAAAGGGGGCTGTTGCCCTGGGCCCCACTCTTCCAGGGGGCCATCAAAGGAAATGAAAAACATTAAGTATTTGCATAAAGTGGGAAGTGGGGGGGGGGAAGCTCCAAGAATCCACTTGCCCAGGGCCTCGCAACCTCTTAATCTGGCCTGCTGAGGTACTAATCCAAAAAGGGTTTCTGTCATGGGTTATGATTTACACCCATGAAGTACAATGATAAGAAAAAAAGCTAGCAGCACTTAAGGGAATACAGAGGCAATGGGAGTCAAAACTTCAAGTTTAAAGCAGTTTCCCATTGTAGTGAATTCTATCAGGAACTGGAAGATATTAATAATATCCCACTCATATCATGCACATGTACCTCACTGAGGCTCATGATTTCATGGAAATCCTTACATTGGTGAGTGGCTTTGAGGAAAACCTGCACCTCCTCTGAAGGTGAAATTTGATTAAGGATTGAACCACGTTTTTTGCACACCCCTGAACTTTGTTGCATTTATAACATGTTTTACTTCAGCTAGAAGCTCCCTTTATCAATGTCCTGGCTCTCAAGTTTTGAGAATAAATTGGGAGGAGCCCCACGTGAAGAAGTATTGTACAATTCTGTGAAGACATGGCTTTGTTCCATTCTCCTCATGTGTGACTCCCCCCAGTCATGGGCGGCACCATATTTAAAATGTGCCATCTAGTGTTAGTGCACCCAGCGAATATACCTAGCACCAGATAGGTCATATTTGAAATAGCTTGTCAAAACTTAACCCATTAAGCCTTATCCAGGCAATGTATTTATGTGACACAAACGGGCAAGGCCAAACATTTTTAGAATTTTTTCCTTAAAAGCAAATCCAAACTTTGTTCGTTTTTGAATCTATGGATGACTGTCTATGAAACCCATATCAAATTTGAAGAATATTTGAAAAAATTGCAGAGTAATGAAATGAAATATACCATGGAGGGGTCCAATGGACCCCCCTTGCCTGGATAAGGATAAGGGTTAACCGCCTTAATCTACCTCCACCCTTCTGGCAAGGGAGAAAGTTCTGTTATGAATGGTAAGCCTAATTGTTGGCATGTACCCCTTATGGAGTATATACCTACCCATAAAAACATTGTGCTTCAAGTTTACTGCACAGAGAACTACATAAATACATTTTTTTTAAGATGTTGCAGCAAGAGTGAAATATGATGCAAATTGACCATTTCCCTTCAGATGCTAATAAAAAAATAGGTCTCTGGACACACTTGAAGGTATGAAGTCATGAGGCCAGGTATTGGTGAAAAGTGGTAGAGCATGGGTTGGGAATGTCACAGGCCTATATTTAAAAAATCTCCTGTAGAGATAGGAGATTTTCAAGTGCAACATACCATGGTTGACTATGAGGTATCTGGGTACCAAAGAAGATATAGACCTGATCCGAATGCCCAGGTTACTTTCCAGGTATGCTTACCAGTGTTCCAAAAAAAACTCTTCCAGATAGGACCAGAAATTCCAAGTCTATGCACAACTTATACAAAACAACACACAACCTCAGAGATGTCAGAGCTGATGCTTAACTATTGCAAAGTGTATGTGGATTGTTCCCAACATGCTCTAACTCATCATGCAAATAGGATGATGGAATAAGAACCCACCTCGGATGACCTTGACTTGGTCGGTCATTTGGAATGTGATGCTTTCGCCTGGTGTGATATACAGATGAACAACATGAGGGCTTCCAGATGCATCTTGAGATTCACAAGGGATAGAAGCAGCTTCTGCCATTGTAGGATAAGGGTATGAAGGGTAGAACCCAAGGTCATAGAAGGCAGGAATAAATCCTGGAAGGAGAGGGATGGCACTGCCACATGCCCAATATGGGAAAGAGCCTGCATCCCCATTTGCTTCTGGCTGTGGCGAAGATTTGTTGGAACGTGAACTCACGCTCTTTTGTCCCTACAATATGCATAAATACTAGGTATATATAATACAAGCTAAACAAGGCAACACTTAGCCATTAAAATATATCTAAAAACTGTGAAACTAAGTGGATGAAAAAACCAACTTTACAAAGTCCTCACCTACAGCAGCTTCATACTGGTATGATGCAACCAAAATTTCAAATGCTAAAACTTGATGACAACTAGCACAAACATAACAGTCTGGAACTTGAACTAAAAATTTACTTTAAATGATTTGTTATGGGAGCAGAGAGAATGTTCTAGTAGCAGTGCCAACTATTGGGTGGGGCACACTAAGCACTCTAAGTCATTTTCTATTAACAGATTGACTGCTGTTCATGTCACATGGTATGTTTGAAAAAGTAATTCATTCATTATTGGGTGGGGAATAATACAGAAGGAAGGTTGCCTCCCAGAACAGTTTCTACTTCCATAACAGCTCCAGTATGTCTTATAAAGCTCATCAGATTATCATGCCACAAAGGCAGTAACTTTTACTTTTGCAGTTCAACTTTAAAAATGAAATAATACAAGACCAGGTCCATTTTACAGATCCATTTGCAAGCACAGGGCAGCATAACAATTTTGCTACTAGTAAGAAGAAATTTCCTGACAATTAAAATTGCAAAATTTTCACTTACCAATACCAACACAATAAAGTAGTTTTGCCCCATAATAGCTTCTTTCAAGGGTCAAGCTAAGCTTTGGTAATGGGATGGGGGGAGGCACTAAGGCCTCAAAACCTCAGAATGGATATAGACATCATTCAGGAACCACTTGCTATCCTGGTATATACATTTTAGCAGAACCAAGCAGGTACTCAGCTCAGATAGACAAATTCTTTCATGATATAAATATACCAATTTCTTAGCATACAGCCAGAGCACAGTCAGCATGTCCCAGAACTAAAACAGTAGTAAAATATATTCAATTGCAAATATGTTGCATCCTTTTTACCACACAGAAATAATGTCACTTGTGACAGATATCATGCATTCGGCTGCCTTATGCAATGCTGAAATAGCACCTGATGGATACAATCAGGTTTTCACCGATGAGAATACCCAGTCAGTTCAAGAAGCTCCTTGCAACTACATATTCTGGTGACAAAAGCTTGACCTTATAATGCTTCTTGAGGCCCTGAGCTCTTGCAAGAAAATTGAACTCTTTTGGTGGAAAGCATAAATACAATCTGGAAAAAAAATTATTTGAAAAAGAACAACCAATTTCTACAAACATATAATCTATGAAAGGATAAAAAAAAGTTCATCTTTGAATTCTTCCACATCTCAAGCATGCACGATACCAAGCATAATGTTTTTTGTTCCAGTTAAGTGTATCAACATGAAAATTGCCCATGGTAAAGGCAATATTCATTGACAATATACCTAGGAATTAAACATGAAAGCAGGTCTCATTGCCAATGCATTTGGTATCTTGCAAAGTATTATAATAATAAGAAAGGAAGGATTCAAAAGATAGTTCCCTACTTGGTTCTGAAGAACAGCTGCTGCAGTGCCAGCTATACCTAACTCACTTAAGCTAGCTGCAGCAACCCTTTACTTCTGGAAAACTTACAGGGATGCAGCTCATAAGCTGGAAATATGACTTTACAAAGGATACAATTGGGGGAAGCATGGTAAACAATGAGAAAAACAAAATTGAAGCTTCAAAAACTCACATCAAAAGAAACCTTACCATCTCAAGTTAATGTCATATTGATAATTTATCATGTGATATATTTTAATAATCAATGTTTTATGCATGAGATTTAATGTTTTAAATATTTCTTTCAAAATTCTTTGTGTACCACCCTGATAAAAAATGTGACAAGGCATGAAAAAAAAACTTTGAAATAAAATCAAAGATCCAAATCCAAAAACCAATTTTGAGATTAAAATGCAGTCTGCTTTCCTCACATGAGAAAGGCAGCCCTTCTGAACTGCTTTCCTCACACTGTATTTACCAGGAGCTTCCTTTATCACCTGCTCATCAATACCATCTTTCCTTAATTCCCACCTTTTCACACTGTTCTCAGACCTTACAATACAACATGACAGGGTCTTGTAATGTACCAAGACTCAAAACTGAGAAAGAATAGGATGTACAGTCGTCCCTCGCCACTTCGCGCTTCGACTTTCGCAGCTTCACTCTTATCGCAGTTTTTTCAAATATATTCATTAAAAAGTTGATCGAGACAGTAAAAATGACACAGCGTGCGCTCGGTTGTCTGAGTCAATTATACACCCCTGTATTACAATTAAAATAAAAATTACTGTACAGTATTTGAAAAAACGGCGATAGAGTGAAGCAGTGAAAGTCGAAGCGCGAAGTGGCGAGGGACAACTGTATTGCCATTCATCACAAGGAAATCTGACACTAAATTGAAGCCAAATTGGCCCTTCTTCAAATGCACACTGGAATCACATGCATTTCCTGATGGATTCATAGATCCCCCTCACAGAGGATTGCTCTTTTTTACTTTTGAACTATGAAAATACTGGGTGGCACTCAAGAAACATGCCAAGATTTTCATCTTTATTTCTCAACTTCCAGTTGAAGCAGACATTAAAAAATCATACCAAGTAAACTTCTGTCTTTCCTTTTGGCTCCATCATAACTACCAATTTTTAGCTACTAGAGTACACCTACATCAGCTGTTTGACTAAGGCACCTTGTAATTTTTCATATCAAGAAAATGCCCCCTTGAACACTATACCTTAGCTTTCAGTAAGAAAATAAAGAAAAATAAAAGTGACAAGAATTTTGCAACACACTGTACATGAAGTATGATTTGCATGCATCTGCCTCATCTGGATTTTGTGAAATAAACACAAAAATCTTGGTGGTTTTTACATGCCACATGATACAAAAAGTTGCCAAATTTAGCAAAATCATCAGACTGCAAGCAGAATACACCACTGCTGGCCACCTAGTCATAGCCAGAGAGCCACCTGCTTCCTGATATTTTTACAGGCATTATAATTTGATTTGTCACATTATGAGTCACTCTCCCGTGTGACCACTCTATGGTCAAGGGCATGTGCATAAAAGAGAATCTACACAGAGCTGTGTTGAATTCTTCTGAATGATGCTGCTCTTCTTCCTTGCTTTTACCAGTGTTTTTCCCAAGTTCCCCCCCCCCCCCCCTCCTGCACTCCAGCTCATTTCCTTTTTTTGACTGAACAATCAACAACAATGAGCATAGAACCTCAGTCCAGCACCAAATTTAAATCCCTTTGCAAGGTGGCAATGTGTGCCACTTGCATTAGATGTAGCAGGTGTGGTTGTGATCACAATGGAAAACCAATGGAAGCAAAGCTGTCGCACAAAAGGGAAGGGACACACAGGATATGAATCCGCTCATAACACCAGCAAAGAAATTGTGACCTAGCTAAGCACCTGTGTGAGGCAGAAGCAAAATAGGTAGAGTGAAACAACAGGTAATAAAGAAAAAATAAAGAAAAGGGTTTGCAAGTTGTTCCTATTAGTGCTTGTTTGATAATAGGGCAAAAAAACTCAGTGTTATGCTTGGCACAGCAATGTGGCCAACCCTTGGGCATACCCCTCCTCCAATGGAGCTTGTGATGAAGGGTTCACTTCACTGAAGGAAAAAAAGTGTTTTTTGGAGGTTTGAGATGATGGGCTTTCCAAAAACACTTTTCCCTTTGTGTACAACTAATACTGGAATGACTTGGTTCTTACAGCACCCACCAAAATAGCTCATTTTGGTCTTGATTCATAGACTGGGTGTTAAATGCAGGATGGAGCAGAAGCAAGGGAACAAGTTTGAATATGAATAACTCAGTAACAATATGCCAAATTGACATTGACTAGAATCAATTACCCAACAAATCATAAAGTATATGGCACAACACTTACTCATAATGCAGCCCAGTCAGAACCACCCCTCTAGACAAGGAATATAGGCATGATGCATCCATCCCATGGTCTGTTTGAGAATTAATATGAACTTTCTGGCTTCTTCCCCTCCCTCCCATCAGGGAATCTGTAATCACCTTCCCATCCCTTCAGCACTTTAGCCCTGCTTACTTGCACCTTGCCAACAAATGCTTTTTTGATGTTTGTTTTCTGTATATGCATCAGGATCAGATTATGCTGTTTTAAAGTACCAAATCAGTCATAGACTTTTTTGATTAGCAATAAAAAAAAAATGTAAATGCATAAACAGATAATAACTATTCCAGCCTAGAGAAGTTTTAGAGGATTTTGCAGTACTTTGGGAGGGGGGGGGGGGCACTCAGGGAGAAACAAGTGGCACTTTGCCACTTGTTTCTCCCTGACCATAGATGGCAAATTGGATTTCAGTGGAAATGCCTTCTTTACCAAACTTTCTGAATGTATGGACACAATCTGTCATTGCAGAATAGGACAATGAGCACATAAACAAGGAATATGGCTAACTAGCATAAGAAAGTGCAGGGAGTTGAAAATATTTCATGGGTAAGGAATATAATATTTATTTTAAATTTCTGGATAGGGCCAAGAGGGTAGAATACTACAATGAATATCAATGCAATAAAGATTGTGACATACCTCCCCAGAATTTGGGTCCAGATTCTTGCAGTGTCCATTGGTGGTGACCACAGGGGGCTTGTGATGCATGCCAGATGCATCTGAGGACTTCCCCTCATGCTTTTCATTTATTTTCACCATTGAGGCCCTGTGTTCGAGTTCACAATGTCCCAAGTCTTGACAATTAAGACTTGCACAAATTTTTCACCTAGACCCCAGAGGTACCTTGACCTTCATATCTCATTCTAACCTACAAGTACCTAAAGAGAGAATAATAAAAAGTAAGTAAAGCTTTCAGGTACAGGACAACAGGACATCATGAATGGGAAATGCACCAATTATTTCCAATTTTAATTTCTTTTAATGCCTGATCTTGAAAGGCTACATAGTGTTTGGAGCATAACAAGCAGTTTAAATTGATCAAACATCTCATCTCAACAGATAGATACTTGTGTTTTGTATTTTCCCATTTTATTCAAAAAAGCAAGTCAGGCAATTTGTCATGATAACCAGCATTGGGGTCAAGCAAGACCAAAAGGCCTGTCTAGGGTTGGAGATATAATCTCAGGAGCTCTCTCAAATAGAAAAGATAGCAAGCCTGAACATGAAAAACATTTGGAATTAACATTCCATTACAATCCTTGTCTATAAGCCAAAGTTGTCCAACCATGGGGGTTCTAATGATCTCATCCATTAGTTGCAAACAGCAAGATCCATATCCAAATCAAGAAAATATCCAGCTTAATATCCCAGCTTGAAACAGCAGTAACTTCCAGCTGAACCAAAGCTGTAAATTTGGACCCATTCCAACTGGGTAACAGCTGGAAAGGAAAAACAGATAGATTGATTCCTAGTTGTAATATCAATGGTGGAATGATAATGTTTTCGTTGGCTATTCTTGCTGAAGGTCCATCTACAGAAGCAGTTGAATTTCAACAGTAAATTCAGCTGTATTCCAGCTGGAGAGCTCTCTGTATAAAATTCGAACTGGAAATTTACAGCTGGAAACAGCTTTTTAAAACCAGTTGAATTCCAGTTAGAAAATTCTGCTGTAAAACAACCTGTATCTACTATTTTCCTGCAGGAAATGGTCTGAATTTAGAGCTTTGGTTCAGCTGGAAACTTCCAGTTGGAGTTTTAAACTGGGCACCCAAAAGATGATACAGACATAAATTGACAAATATCACATATGCAACTGTCTAATAACATTCAAAAGGAAGAGACAGTTAGGTATGCACATGCCTTTAAACCAATACTCATGAAGTTGCTGGAAATGACACTCCATTGCAGAAATAAGTATTTTCCTTAGGCCTACATAGCCATCTTCCCTGAACATTGAAGATGCTGCAAAAGCAGTTTTTGAAAGAAATAAAGAAAAGACTCAATTCTTCAAGTGCCTCAAGGTAGAAGGTATTTAGTAAAAACATCTTTCAATTCCAAGGAAGGGAGTGTTGCTGGGGATGAAAAGTTCTGAATCAATTGAGAGTCCATGACACATAAAAAAAACTCAATTGAGAACATATTTTACATTAAATTTTAGCATGTATTAAACTTAGAGCATTTTGCACAGGCGTTGATAATCAGCTTCAGAGTTTCCCCCTGAATTAGTTAAAATGGATATGACGTGTCAGAAATGCAATAGCGTGGAGGGCTTTCGGATGGACTTTAGTTGATAAAAAAGAGCTGGTTGCTGAGATCCTACTGAAGCACGCATTGGGCAAATAAACAAGAATAATACACTAAGTTAAGCACATGATTGCACCCGGACTTACTTGGCTTTTTCATAAGTAGGGCCTAGCCCTATGCCTGCCGGCTCCGGAAGAATGTCAAAATCAAGCTGTTTTGTAGATCGGAATAAGGAGAACGAGTCCAAAGGCAATAGGTAAACTAGATAACTATAGGGTCTCCTAAGCCAGTTGCCTAAGTTACGCCAAGAGTATAACACTTAAGCCTAAAAATTAGTCCATACTTGCCTAAGCCGGAATATTCTTGGTTTAAGCATATGATAGAGCCTTGAAAGGGTTATGAAATAAAGTCATAAATAGAACGCATGATTATACATATTATTTTTACTGGCCGGCTGAAATGACATCTCATGGCGGAATTTCGGAAAGAAGGCGACTATCTGGTGGAAAACACGCTATATTCACGAGAGCAGCGGGGCACAGCTGTTCGAGAATCCTCGCCATCTTTCCCTGCCCACGCAGCAGCATGGCAGAAGCTAGCCGACGTGGGTAGAGGCCTGCGGTGACTGTCGCTCATCCCGACTCCGCCCAGTGCTTTCGCAAATGGGCGGGACCGCGGGACCGATCGCTCCTACACGACCTGTCTACCGCTCATGCAGCAGTTACGGTTGAATGACGACTCCTCTAAAACATGTTGACGGTACAAGAATGCTCCAGTGATGTCATATTTCTCATTGCTGATCAGCAGAAGCAAAAGAAAATTACGGATAAAATTAAATTCTGCATCAGCAAAAGTAAGTATTTGTAATACGAAGTTTTAATTTAAAAAGTTTAAATAGGCATAACACTCCTACCCCATTTCGCTCCACCACTATTCGACATACTGTACGAGTAATTTTGCGATCGGACATCCTGTCCGTAGACAACCAAGCTCTGTTGCTCTCTTTCCGACAACGATCGGAACAAAATTATTATTTGGAGGCAGGCTGATGGTAGCTTGAACCAGGATTCCATTCAGGCGGATAAGCAAAGTTTTACTCGTTCACTGAATCCACTGGAGCTTACCGTTAGTCTCCACTCCTCACCTGCAATCAATTTGTCCAAACAGCGAAGTTTCTGTTTACCGTTACTTGGCTGCACAGAGGGAATTATAGTCAATGATGCCAAATCGAGTAACTTATCCGTGAACTCACTGTTCAACGTTTATATCACACCTTTATCGGTTCGTTTTCTCTGCATTCACAAGCTCAGTCACCCATCGACTAAGGCAAAAAGAATTCGCTTTGACTCCGTCACAAAGTGACTAGAGACGGAGGCGCTCGAGAACCTCCCGACAATCTTAGCAGCTGAGTCAGGCGGCTGAGTTGCTGAGCTCAGCCAGAACGTACAGTAAGCAAAAGCGATTTAGGCTCTTCAGCCAGCTGATTTGCTGAGGCCGATAGTAAGCGCCATAATTTTATTTTATTATTTTTCATTATTCCTTTCCCCATAGAGTTATGAGTGACATACACCAGAACTGCTTAATTTGACCTTTACACGCCGAACGTTTCCACGAACAGCGTGGAATCTTCTTTTCATACCCAGAGCCGTTTCTAGGAGTGGGCGATCGCCCATGATCGCCTATTGGAGGAAGGTGGGGGGCGCAAAGAAACACAATAATAAAAGCAAGTATTTTTTTAAATATAGTTAGCGTGGAAGCAAATGCCTTGACTTGGCTTTGATTATTTACAAACGTAACTAAATGATTTCCATCGGTTCCGCCTCCCTGTCAGCTTCCAGGGATAAGCTGGGCCGTTTCTAGGCATATTGGCGCCCAGAGCAAGGAGTTCCAATGGCGCCTCCCCTCCCCCTCACCCACCAAACCAACAACTGCGACGCAAAGCACCACCGCAGCTCTGGCGATTAGGGCCTTATCCCCGGAACTGATGGAAATCATTTTGTTACATTGTAAATAATGTAGATTCCGCTTTATTGGGACACGTTGGTTCAAGGTCTATTCGCCCCAATTAAGCGGCTGCCTTAATAAAGCGAACTTACCTTTTAGTATAGTAAGAAACCCAGACACAAATGTCCTTTACTTGTGCAAAACGAAAAATTACAATTCAAGAAGCCCATAGTTGCTTGTTTCACATCCGAAAAAGCTTTTCTGAAACACTGATGTCAAGAGCACCATGTTCTCTATTATCAGAACTCTGCTCAATAAAGTAGCGCTGAAGGATGTCCACCGAGCTCCTGGCTTCGTACGTGAGTCACCTTAGGTAAATTCTCAGGTTCCTTGTCTGCGACATCCCCTAAGCGAGGTCTCATGGGAACGATGTCCTCGACTGTATCGTCCTCAGAGTCATTGTGTTCGGCGGAGCATGGTGCGTTTTTGTCGATGTTGACGAAGGCTTCTCCGTTAGTGACATCAAGAATAGTCAGACCCTCCTCATAGGTTGACGCTGACACCTCTGGTCCAGAAAGAAAGCCAGATCCACGGAAGCAGTTTGCTATGGTCTCTGCTTTAACAGTCGGTAACACAAAACAAAACACAAAACACACGGCGAAGAGGAGGGAGGGAGAGGGCGGAAAAAAAAAACTTCTGGGACCGGCGGCTTAAATTCACCCTGCCCTTGCCCCAATTAAGCAGATTTTCGTTCCAAATATACGGCGAAATTTCTATGTACCTGCATAGAAATGGTTCCGTTCCTAACAAAAGGTCCCGATAAACCGACTGCCTTATTAACCGATGGTCCAATAAAGCGGAATCCACTGTAATTAAAGCCAAGTCAAGGCATTTACTTCCACGCTAACCATATAAAAAATACTTGTTTTTGTTATTGTGTTTCCTAGAAAACCTGCCGATGGTGCCACACCTGCGGTTGCCGGAACATTCCTACAGTCCTAGATTCAAGCGACGTCCGAGTAAATAATTCACTTTGGGTTCACCTTAAGAGGTAAAATTCCCTAGGACAAGTTAAAAATTCAAAAACTTAAGCCTCTATACTACAAAGAAAGACAGGATTATAGAGAGGGGGATTAACCGATGTACGTTTCGAAATGAAGGGAGTATAAGAACTGTCCACTTTCATAGCATGCACATCATGATCGAGCCGAAAACTGAAACAGAAGAGAAAAAAATTTTCGCAGTCCCTCTCCTTTCCCACTTCACGTCTCCGACTCGAACTGGTTTTCTTTTCTCCTTTATTTCATATAGTCAGTCCCAGCATTTCCAGAAATTTATCGTGATAAGAAATTGAAAGCCCATGCGGATCTTCCTTTCCCTGCCCAGACTGTATTGTACTCGTCTCAATCCAATGGGGCATTTCTCATTTTGCGCATGCATCGCGATGGTCGAAAAAACGATAGATTCTTCCAACCATCGATTGTGGTATCGATGCATCGACTTATCGTGACAGTCCTACTTGATACCCAATGCCTAGTCGCAGCGTGGCATCATGCCGCATATACTAGGGGAAGGTTGGGAGGGGGCGGAAGGGCTTCTGTCCTATTATGAAAGTGTTATCAGACTCACCAGTACGCTGGTAGGAGGCTGCACGGCATAACATGAAATATCACTAATAATTTTAATTTTTCTATCGTCCCGATTAGTGCTAGT